GGTGGTATAAATAAAAAAAAATTGCCAAGTATCCATCATAACAGGTAAAAAGGAAATTAGATTTTTTCTTTCTTTTCAATATGTATTTTTTTTAGAAGATAATATTGTTTGGAGTTTAGTTAAATTTAAGGCTGCTCACCCCCTTCCCATTGGGTGTAGATTGAACCCATTTTGAATCTATTGTAGGCAGTCTTGTCTTGAATTTCTAACAAATTGATTCCTCTGCTTTCAAACATCAATTCTTAACCACTGGACCAAGGTAAAATGTAAACTATGTCAGGTAGAGTTTGATGTTACATGACGTTATCCTCCAAATTTCCAATATATGCATAGATATGCTCAATTCAAGCCCGAATATGGGGAAGGCACTCGAATGCAATAACTTCCTCTTAGTTCTTATCTTCCAGAGCAAAGGCGATAAAACTTATCTTTGTTATGAAGTTAAAATGTTGGATTACTGTTTTATTTTTTCTAAGAGAAAATTATTGTTGTAAAAATAAGGATATAATGTTTAGCATATATGTCATTAATGTATAGTTTAATACTTTTCTTCTTTTAAACTTTTGTGAGGCTATAAGATGGATCTGCAAAAGTTTCAGATGTATATGTAAATTATCGAATTTGACAATCTTTGGCAGGACCCACAATTATAAGAGGGTTTTAGGTCTATTTCTCCATTTTGGTATTTCTGTTTTCTGTGGGCATAAAGTGCTTCGATACTGTGGGCTATTCATGTTGAATATTAGCCGGAGAATAAACCAAATGACTGTTTTTTATAGTTAGCAATGATCATATCATGACACTTGAGTGGACAGATCTTTTCCTCTTCTCTTCAAGTTATCTAAACCTATAATCTATTCTATACTATGAATCAAAGTTAGTAAAATGGAAATGGATGAACAGGTTTAGGTCCTCCAATAGAGAATTAGATCATTGTTTTCAAATAATCTGTAAGATATTGAATTGGATAAACTAGAAGAATTAAATATAAATAATCAAAATCTGGGTTAAGAATTAAGTTAGTTCTTTTGAATTTCTTTAAAGTCACTTGTGTTACTTATGACTTTCCATCTTTTATGTCTTTACTACGTTTTTATATATCACTTTTGATGACGATTGTAATTATTAAATATTTTATTGTATATTTATTATATTATTAAAAAATAAAAAAATTATTTTATTGAATTCTATATGTTGAATATAAAAGAAATAGAATTTGAGATTAATCTTTTTGTGTATAAATCACACATAAGGTAGTTTATTTATAGTAGAGAGATACAACTAAAAGAGTAACTGAAAGTAACAAAATAAACAGAAGATATTGTTTGATATTGTGGTTAACAATATCTAACAATATCTTAACAATATCAAATAATATTTAAACAATATCTAACACTCCCCTTCAAGCTGGAGCATACAAATCGTATGTGCCAAACTTGTTACAAATATAATCAATTCTAGGATCCCGTAAAGATTTAGTAAAAATATCTGCTAACTGATCACTTGAGTTAACAAACTCAGTCTTGATGTCTCCAGACATAATCTTTTATCGAATGAAATGATAGTCAATTTCAATGTGTTTGGTCCTCTCATGAAAGACAGAATTAGAACTAATATGAAGAGCAGTCCGATTGTCACACACAAGTGACATTTGAGTGACATCTCCAAATTGTAACTCTCTAAGCAATTGCTTGAGCCAAACAAGTTCACAAGCAGCTGAGGCCATAACTTTATATTCTGCTTCTGCACTAAATCTTGACACAACACTTTGTTTCTTACTTTTCCATGAGACCAAGTTACCACCAATGGAGACACAATATCTAGATGTAGATCTTCTATCCGAAGGAGATCTTGCCCAATCGGCATCTGACTAGCAAACAATTCTTGTATGGTTATTAGAATCATATAACAATCATTTTTCAGGAGATCCTTTAATATACTTTAAGATACAAATGACTGCATTCTAATGATCTTCACATGGGGAATTAAGAAATTGACTTACCACACTGACTACAAAGAAAATGTCAGGACGAGTAACTGTAAGATAATTCAATTTTTCAACCAATCTTCTATACTGCTCAGGATCAAGTATAAGCTCCCCCTGATTTGGTAGAAGTTTAGTATTGGGATCCATGGGCGTATCAACAGACTTTGAATTCATCAACCCAATTTCCTCTAAAATATCCATGACATACTTCCTCTGAGATATAACAATACCATCATTGGACTGTGCCACCTCAATACCCAAGAAATATCTAAGTTTGCCAAGATCTTTGGTCTAAAAATGATGACAGAGTGTTTCAACGGAGAGATGACATAGTTGTCGCTACTTGTAAAAACGATGTCATCAACATATACTATCAAGAAAACACATCCAACACTTGAGTGTCGATAAAAGACAGAGTGATCTGCTACACACCGAGCCATACCAAATTGTTGAACAACCTTGCTAAACTTTCCAAACCAGGCCCTAGGAGATTGTTTTAGGCCATATAGGGATTTGCGAAGATAACATACCATCCCAGAAGACTTCCCCTGAGCAACAAACCCAGGAGGTTGCTCCATATAGATTTCTTCTTGCAAATCACCATTGAGGAAAACATTTTTAACATCTAGTTGATAAAGAGACCATTGTTGAAGAGCGGCCATAACGATAAATAAACGAACAGAAGTCATCTTTGCCACAGGGGAAAATGTATCTCCATAATCCAACCCAAAAATTTGAGTATAACCTTTGGCCACAAGACGAGCTTTGAGGCGATCAATAGTACCATCAGGACCAACTTTGATAGCAAACACCCGCCTGCAACCAACAACAGATTTCCCAGACAGTAACGATACCAATTCCCAAGTTCCACTATTATGAAGAGCACTTAGTTCATCTAACATGACTTGACACCAACTAGGATGGGCTAAAGCTTCACGGACAATTTTTGGAATGGTCACAGAAAAAAATAGAGGAAAGACATGTATAAAAAAGTAATGACAATCGATGATAACTCAAACCAATATAATGGGGAGAGAGATTACGTGTAGAATGGATACCTTTTCGGAGGGCAATGGGAAAGTCAGACTCAGGCGTCACATCCGGAGGAGACAAAGTAGTTGACACTTGAGTAGAGTCACATGGTGGTGGTTGTGATTGGTTTCGACACTATAAACCTGAAGAGGCAGTGAAGAAGAAGCTGATTGCGGAGTAGAAACTAATGGTGAAGAAGACACAGTTAGAGGGTCACAAACAACAGGAACATTAAATGTACTAGGAGTGTTGACAAGATTGGATGAAGAAAGAGATGAAAATTGACTTTTAAAATAAAAAGAGAACTCATCAAAGGTGACATCTGCAGACACAAAATAACGATTAAGAGAAGGAGAAAAACATTTGTATCCTTGTTATGATCTTATAAACCCTAAGAAAACACATTTATGTGATTTCGGAGAAAGCTTGTCAAGACCAGAACTGAAATTATGAACAAAACAGGTTTAAGTCCTCCAACATAAAATTAGATCATTGTTTTCAAATAATCTGTAGGATATTGAATTGGATAAACTAGAAGAATTGAATATAAATAATCAAAATCTAGGTTAAGAATTAAGTTAGTTCTTTTGAATTTCTTTAAAGTCACTTGTGTTACTCATGACTTTCCGTCTTTTATGTCTTTACTACGTTTTTATATATCACATTTGATAACGATTATATTTATTAAATATTTTATTGTATATTTATTATATTATTAAAAAATAAAAAATTTATTTTATTGAATTCTATTGAACTTTTGAATTCATATTTTCACTTAGTTTGATTTTAAGAACATTGTTTATAGTATAAATAAAAAGAAGTGAGGTGAGTAATAATATTTTTGTGTATACAATTTCTTATCATTTTTCACAATATATAATTATTTTTTTCTAATTTTTGATTTTATTTTTAACATTATTTGTATTTTCTTTATTTGTAGACTCCTAATTATCTTTTAACATTTTTTTAAATGATAATGTTATCTATTTGTTTCTATAACTACTTTTTAATTGTTAATAGAGTGGATGGACATTTCCTAACGTTTTCCAATGAACTTTCTTAATTTTACCCTTTTAGCAATTTTTTATATGTTTTCGTAAATTTTTTACACAATTTCTTAACTAATTTTCTTAATTATATCAACTAATTTTTATTATCATAAAATATATGAAGACATAGGTTGAATGACATGTATATCGATATAAAATATTATTATATTATACAAAGAAAAAAATATTTTTTATAGGTCATTTTTAATTAAAATAATTTTATTCTTTAATAAAACAGGTGTACAGTCTTTCAATTATTTTTAGTTGTACAACTTCTCCAATTTAAAAAAAAAACTTATTAAGGTTGAATAATTCATAATTAGACATAGTTCTCTCCCTATGAAATCATTCTATTTTTCTGTAGTCCTTTTAAAACTTCTTTTACAAATTATCAATTTTTGGACAGTTTATATTATTTTAGTATAATAGAAATAAAAACAGATTTTCTTTTACAATCATAATATTTTCATCTAACAGGCATTAAAGAGTTTCTACTCGTTTATAAGAAAATGAGAATAGTTATTTGAGACTAAATTTAAAATAAGAATAATTTTACACCGGTATCCTACGCATGTAAAATTACCTAAATTGTTTTAAATGTAGCCAAACTCATTCACGCCCCATCCCATATCATTGGACAAGTTGACAGTAAATACCAATTTCCAACATACCCGTTTGAATTTTTCAACTTTTGAGAAACAATAATTTTGATTTTTTGTTTTAGCCAAACGAAGACTTGTCTAACCCTTTATTTGTTGGTTTTCACGAACAGCTTAACAATTCAATAGACAGCTGAGTGAGCAGCACAAGTTCACAGATAACAATTGATGTCTGGAAACAAAATATTGAACAACATAAGCATTATATTTACAATCTATGGAACGAGACCACACAAATTTTTACTTTTAGGTTCTGAATGCTTGTGAATTGTATCACAAGAGACCACACAAACGGGGTCTTGAGCAGAAATGTCTTCCATTAGCTTTGACAATTGCCATGACACCAGCAGTTATTCCAGCACAGAGTACAGAAGAAACATAGTGGTGTGTATTTCTGCCAGCTATAAAATAAACAAGAAAATTAGAAAAATGAGAAAATAAGAAGAAAAAGAAGAGTAAAACATCCCTTTCTTGAGATGGAAGAAACACAGAATTATGTACCTTGCTGTAAAGTTAAGGTTGTTGCCGTTAAACCCCCAATTATCAAAGCTGATGCAACAGGGAGATACTGCATGTATACAGTTTTCCATAAAACATGTCAATACCAACCACTGGAATTATTTTTATAAGCCATTTAAGAAGATGAAGTGTGATGTAATTATCTATGTCCACAAAACGCATTTAAATTTACATGTCCTGAAATGGCTTGTCAAAAATTTGGTAATGTGCATTCTTTCCATGATTAATTAATACACAAGAATGTATAATGAAACAATTTGCATTGTCTTCAAATCATAACACAACTTCTCCTAGAGAAGATGATCATCCCATTTGTGCCGACCAATCATATAAAAGGAACAAACATGCCTTTTCAACTAGGTGGATGTTGCTACATGGATAGTGATGACAGAACGATCAACCTGCTCCTACTCTAACCCACAAAAAAGGGGACGAGATATACTAATTTGCCATGATTAGGATGAACTATAAAATCCAGTCCGCCATAATTAGAAGGAGCTACAAATCTCAGTCTCTCCGCCAAAGGATGGACTGACGGACCGGTCCGTCAATAATTTTTTTATATAAAATTTTTCTATATGTATTTTTGTTTTAAATATAATTTTTAAATTTTTATATATTAATATTTGTATTAGGTAAATTGAAAAAAATTAGTATATTTATGTATTAAAATAACTAATTATAATCAATAATTTAAACTTAATTAATTAATTTTTATAATTAAAATTATAATATTATAGTTGTTAGATATTGTTTATATATTATTTGATATTGTTAAGATATTGTTAGATATTGGTAACCACAATATCAAACAATATCTTCTGTTTATTCTGTTACTTTCGGTTACTCTTTTAGTTGTATTTCTCTACTATAAATAGACCACCCTATGTGTGATTTATACACAAGGGAAATTAGTTCCAAACTATATTTTCTTTATATTCAACATGGTATCTAGAGCTTAAGGTTATCTTGAATTTTTTTCCGCCTTTTGTCCACCTGTTGGAGCCGCCCCACCGCTGCTAGAGCCGCCCCACCGCTGCCGGTAAACCGATCCTCCACATCAGAAAAGAATTATCTTTGTCATTGAATTTTATTTGGTAGTGTGAAAGTGCATGTTTAGGAAAGTTCTGGCAAGAAAAGACTTGGTATTTAAGTGTGTCCATTAGTGACCCACCTCTCTTTCCTGGGAACTTACCTAGTGTACTAGTTCACGTTACTGTCACCGCTGCCGCTGGAGCAGTCACTGGGTCCGCCGCTGTCGGAGAATTCGCCGGAGTTTCATTTTTTTTTACCGGTGACATATGATTTTGCTTGTCTCGGAAAAACGGCGTCCTAAGTGTGAACATTGTGGCAAGCTAGGTCACAAGATTAACAAGTGTTATACATTACATGGTCGTTCTCCTCGACTCGCTGTAGTTGTTCGGACCAATCTTTCCCCACCTTTATCCGTAGGGGATCTTCCTTCTTCCGTTGCATCCGACATGTCTCGCTATGTTCAACAAATTTCTCGAATGGTATAAGGATCAACAGTCTTCTAGTTCCACTATATCTGTCACACATACAAATACATATTTTGCTTGGTCTGACCCAATCATTTTCTCCTGGTCCTTGGGTTTTTGATTCAGGAGCCACCGATCATATTACTCGGTAACAAATCTTTGTTCTCCTCTTTATCCTCTCCTAATCATTTACCTTCTGTTACACTCGGCTGATGGCTCTAGAGTATCATCTCATGGTGTTGGAACGGTTAAACTCTTTCCTTCTTTAACCATTGATAATGTTCTTTATGTCCCTGGGTCTCCTTTTAACCTGTTGTCCATCGAGTCGCCTAACTCGTTCTCTTGATTGTGTTGTTACTTTTACCAACAATTCTGTGTGTTTACAGGACCGGAGTTCGAAACAGGTGATTGGCACAGGATGTGAGTCTCATGGTCTTTATTATCTCCGTCCCTCTACACATGTTAGTACAGTTATGGAGTCTCCTCTCTTCTTCATGCTCGGTTAGGTCATCCAAGCCTTGCCAAGTTACGTAAACTTGTCCCCGCCTTGTCTAACTTATCTAGTTTGGCGTGTGAGTCATGTCAATTAGGCAAGCATAGTCGTACTTCCTTTCCTCGTAGTTTCACACGTGGTGCTTCGTCCCCTTTGCCGTGGTTCACTCGACATTTGGGGACCTAGCCGCGTTAAGTCTACTTTAGGTTTTCAATACTTTGTTACTTTCATTGATGATTATTCCAGATGCACTTGGTTATTTTTGATGAAAAATCGTTCTGAATTATTTCATATCTTTCAAACTTTTTTTAATGAAATTCAAACTCGGTTCGGTGTTTCTATTAGAGTTTTGCGTAAGTGATAATGGCCGTGAATATCTTTCTCATTCTTTTAAACAATTCATGGCTTCTCACGGTATTTTGCATAAAACTTCTTGTGCTTATACACCTCAACAAAATGGTGTAGCTGAACGTAAAAATAGACATCTTATTGAAACAACTCGCACACTTTTAATTCATGGAGATGTTCCTCAACATTTTTGGGGTGATGCTCTTCTTACTCGCATGTTATCTCATTAATCGCATGCCTTCTTCGGTTTTAGATAATAAAATACCTCATTCCATTTTATTCCCTCATGAACCACTTCATCCTTTACCTCTGAAAGTTTTCGGTCTACATGTTTTGTTCATAATTTCAATTCTGGTCCGGACAAGCTTTCTCCTAGATCACATAAATGTGTTTTTTAGGGTTTACAAGATCACAAAAAGGATACAAATGTTTTTCTCCTTCTCTTAACCGTTATTTTGTGTCAAAAGATGTCACCTTTGATGAGTTGTCTCTTTATTTTAAAAGTCAAACTTCACCTCTGTCTCCATCCAATCTTGTCAACACTCCTAATACATTTAATGTTCCTGTTGTTTGTGACCCTCTAATTGTGTCTTCTTCACCATTAGTTTCGCTCCGCAGCTTAGCTTCTTCTCCACCGCCTCTTCGATTTATAGTTCTCGAAACCAATCACAACCACCACCATGTGACTCTACTCAAGTGCCAACTACTCTGTCTCCTCCGGATCTGACACATGAGTCCGACCTTCCCATTGCCCTCCGAAAAGGTATTCGTTCTACACGTAATCCCTCTCCCCATTATATTGCTTTGAGTTATCATCGACTGTCATTACCTTTTTATACATGTCTTTCCTCTATTTCTTCCGTGACCATTCCAAAACTCGTCCGTGAAGCTTTAGCCCATCCTGGTTGGCGTCAGGCCATGTTAGATGAACTAAGTGCTCTTCATAATAGTGGAACTTGGGAATTGGTCCCGTTACCGTCTGGGAAATCTGTTGTTGGTTGCAGGTGGGTGTTTGCTATCAAAGTTGGACCCGATGGTACTATTGATCGCCTCAAAGCTCGTCTTGTGGCCAAAGGTTATACTCAAATTTTTGGGTTGGATTATGGAGATACCTTTTCCCCTGTGGCAAAGATGGCTTCGTTCGTTTATTTATCGCCATGGTCGCTCTTCAACAATGGCCTCTTTATCAACTGGATGTTAAAAATGCTTTCCTCAATGGTGATTTGCAAGAAGAAATATATATGGAGCAACCTCCTGGGTTTGTTGCTCAGGGGGAGTCTTCTGGGATGGTATGTCGTCTTCGCAAATCCCTATATGGCCTAAAACAGTCTCCTAGGGCTTGGTTTGGAAAGTTTAGCAAGGTTGTTCAACAATTTGGTATGACTCGGTGTGAATCAGATCATTCTGTCTTTTATCGACACTCGAGTGCTGGATGTGTTTACTTGATAGTATATGTTGATGATATTGTTCTTACAGGTAGTGACAACCATGGCATCTCTCAGTTGAAACAACATCTTTGTCACCATTTTCAGACCAAAGATCTTGGCAAACTTAGATATTTCTTGGGTATTGAGGTAGCACAGTCCAATGATGGTATTGTTATATCTCAGAGGAAGTATGCCATAGATATTTTGGAAGAAACTGGGTTGATGAGTTCAAAGTCTGTTGATACACCCATGGATCCCAATACTAAACTTCTACCAAATCAGGGGGAGCCTATATCTGATCCTGAGCAAGTATAGAAGATTGGTTGGAAAATTGAATTATCTTACAGCTTACTCGTCCCGACATTTCCTTTGCAGTCAAGTGTGGTAAGTCAATTTCTTAATTCACCATGTGAAGATCATTGGAATGCAATCATTCGTATCTTGAAGTATATTAAAGGATCTCCTGGAAAAGGATTGTTATATGCTTCTAATAACCATACAAGAGTTGTTTGCTACTCAGATGTCGATTAGGCAGGATCTCCTTCGGATAGAAGATCTACATCTCGGATATTGTGTCTCCATTGGTGGTAACTTGATTTCATGGAAAAGTAAGAAACAAAGTGTTGTGGCAAGATCCAGTGCAGAAGCAGAATATAGAGCTATGACCTCAGCCTTCCTGTGAACTTGTTTGGCTCAAGCAATTGCTTAGAGAGTTACAATTTGGAGATGTCACTCAAATGACACTTGTGTGTGACAATCAGTCGCTCTTCATATTAGTTCTAATCCTGTCTTTCATGAGAGGACCAAACACATTGAGATTGACTGTCATTTTATTCGAGAAAAGATTATGTCTGGAGATATCAAGACCGAGTTTGTTAACTCAAGTGATCAGTTAGCAGATATTTTTACTAAATCTTTACGGGGTCCTAGAATTGATTATATTTGTAACAAGCTTGGCACATACGATTTGTATGCTCCAGCTTGAGGGGGAGTGTTAGATATTGTTTATATATTATTTGATATTGTTAAGATATTGTTAGATATTGGTAACCACAATATCAAACAATATCTTCTGTTTATTCTATTACTTTCAGTTACTCTTTTAGTTGTATTTCTCTACTATAAATAGACCACCCTATGTGTGATTTATACACAAGGGAAATTAATTCCAAACTATATTTTCTTTATATTCAACAATAGTATATTTATATATTTCAATAACATAATACAAAAAAATAAATATTTTTAATTATAATCCTTTTTATTTTAGTTTTAACATAAAAATGTTTTTTAATGTGGATAACTGGGCTAGTCTGCTCCACCTTTAACCCGTCGAGTTAGCGGACTAGGTGGAGCGGGTCAAAACGGGCTAAAACTATTAATCCGCCCCATCATTTTTGAGGTGGATTGGTGGGTCGGCTTGTTGAGCTCATGTATTTTCAAAATTGAATTTAAGACAAGGATATCACCAAATCAGGATGAAGGAATATGCCATTGCAAAACCCGCTTTCCGCACACGTATAGGCCACTGAATTTATGGTACTTCTATTTGGACTCACTAATCCACCTTCTTTTTTTCAATCATTAATAAATGAAGTTTTGGGGCAGTTCTTCGGAAATACACTTTAGTATTCTTTGATGATATCCTAATATACAATCTTTCCATGGAAGAACACAAGCAACACCTACAAAATGTATTGACATTACTACAACAAAATAAATTGAAGATCAATGACAAGAAATGCTCATTCGGCCAAGCAAATTTGGAATATATAGGACATGTTATTTCTACTGGAGGAGTATCCATAGATCCTAAGAAGTTGGATGCAATAATACTCTGGCCGATCCTAAGAAGTTGGATGCAATAACACTTTGGCCTACACCCAATAATGTCACTAACTTAAAGGGGATTTTTAGGATTTATTGGCTATTATAGGAGGTTTGTTCATAATTATGAAAGAATAGCAAGGCTATTGACCAACCTACTAAAGAAAAATGCCTTCCAATGGAATCTAGAGGTACAAATTTCCTTCAAACAACTTAAACAAACCATGACCAGATTACCTACATTAGCAGCTCTTGACTTTTCAAAGCCTTTTGTGGTGGAAACTGATGCTTGCGAAACCAGATTAGGGGTTGTTCTAATGCAAGAAGGAAGACCTCTAGCTTTCTGGAGCACTACCCTATTTGAAAGAAACCAGAAAAAATCAATATATGATCGCGAATTGATGACAGTCGTGAAAGCAGTCTAAAAATGGCGGCACTACTTGTTGGGAAGCCATTTTATTATTAAAATTGACCAAAAAAATTTGAAATTTTTGACAGAGCAGAGGATACTTGATGAGGAACAATACAAACAAATTTCCATATTTGGCAGGATACGATTTTGAAATACAGTACAAACCAGGGAAGGAAAACTCTACTGCCGATGTGCTTTCCAAGAGAAGTTCCTATTATGCCATGTCAATCTTACAATTCATGATTTTGAGGAATGGGTTGAAGAGATAAAACAAGATGACAAATTACAAAAAACCATACAACACTTAATTATTGATCTCACATCTCATATGGGTTATACTTTGAGGGATCAAAAGTTATTTTACAAGGAGAAAATTGTGCTATGCAAATCTTTCTCCCGGATTTCAATCGTTTTAAAAGATTTTCATTCATCCTTGGTAGGAGAACGTTCAGGTATCTTCAGGACTTACAAAAGAATAGCAAGTCTGGTGTATTGGGAAGGGATGAAAACCGACATAAAAGTTTCGTTGTTGCTAGCGAAGTTTGCCACAGAAACAAAATTGACAACTTATCTCCAGCAAGACTGCTTTAGTCATTACCACTCCCCACTCAAGTATGGACAAATATTTCTATGGATTTTATTAGAGGACTGCCCAAATCCATGAGAAAGGATACAATCCTGGTGGTGGTTGACCAACTCACTAAATATGCCCACTTTATACCATTAGGGCACCCCTACATTGCTACCGAAGTTGTTGTAGTATTTCTATAAGAAATTGTGAGATTGCATGGATTTCTGTCTTTTATTGTTTCATATCGCCACCCTCTATTTTTAAGCAATGTCTAGAAAGTCCTTTTTAAAGTAGTAGGAGCACAACTAAAGTTTAGTTTAGCATACCATCCCTAAAATGACGGATAGATGGAAGTTGTCAAATGATGTTTGGAAGTTTATTTGCAATGCTTAACTAGAATAAAGCCTACGAAATAGGTCTCTTTTTCTTCCTTGGACCGAATTGTGGTTTAACACCAATTATAATGTTTCCAACAAAATGTCCCCTTTCAAAGTTTTGTATGGACATGATCCCCCTCACATTCTTAAGGGAACCACCATTCCTTTCCGCTTGGAAGAAGTTAATAAGCTTACATTTGCTCAAGATGAATTGTTGGCTACTCTAAGAGAGAATTTCTTGAAATCCCAATGCAAACAAATGCCAACAAACGCCGACGTAATATAGAATATGTAGTCAGTGATTGGGTGTTCTTGAAAATGCAACCTTATAGAAGAAGGTCTTTGGCTAAAAGAATTAATGAAAAACTCTCCCCTCAATTTTATGGTCCTTTTCAGGCTTTAAAAAAAGTGGGTGTTGTTGCTTACAAATTGAATCTTCCATCTCATAGTAAAATTCATCTAGTCTTTCATGTCTCTCCTCAAGAAGGCCATTGATGATTCTTTCTAATCCCAACCTTTACCACCTATGTTATCTGAGGATAAAGAATTACAGGTTTATCCAGACTTTGTTTTAGATATTCGTGAACTACAACCTGACAACGTGGAAGTCTTAGTTTAGAGGCAAAATCTTCCTCCAAGTGAAATAGTTGGGAATATGTGGCTAAAATTCAGGAGGTTTTTTCAACTTATCACCTTGAGGACAAGGTGAGTCTTTTATGTGGGGGTATTAATAAGAATAAGCCACCTATGACCAAGATATACACCCGCAAGAAACGAACAAAAGAAGCAATAATCATAGACCACCAACAACATTCAAAGGATGCAAAACATCCAACAGATACAACCCAGGTCAAGAGATGCGAATTAAAGGGCATGACCCTTGGAATAAAGATACAACCATTAGGAAAAGTTGTATCAATTAGGAACGATTGTTAGACGCAACAAAAATAGTAGTAATCCAGATTAGGAAAGGGAGGAAAAAGGAAATGAGGAAGAATTTGTATTGTGGAAAGACAGACTTTTGAAAACCTGTGTTATGAAATATCTCAAAATTATCTCAATAAATTTTATTCATTTTTCAATTGTGTCCATTTCTTTTCTGTCCATATCACTCACCGTTAGAGGTTCAAAGTTATTTGACCGGAAAGGAGAAGGAACGTTTCTGCTGACATTATAGTGACCACTTATCAGATCCAGGGCATCCTGCAAAAGATATGAAAATTTTTAATGACTTTGAGATTAACTGCGCTCTGTTTAAATGAGTAAAAAATTTATGCACAGAAATGAAGATTGCCTGCCGAAGTCCATCATGGAAGTTATTCAAGTAATATCGGGAAAGCGCACTCACTCCATCTTTAATCATTCCAGTTAATGTTTGTTTCCCATATCTGCACATTTTTTTCAAAACGTATCATATCAGTGTCACAGAAGGGCAACACAGGGCTTTTAGGACCAAAAGTTTCATACCTAACTAAGTCCCCTTTTAAGGCATGAGTCCCAGCATACTCAAGGCTTATCTCATCACCTTGCTCTGCCCACACTAAATAAAATATATAGAATCCAAATAAGTAGGGCAATAATTTATAAAGAATGCAAGAAATTATCCGGAAATTCCTCACATATTCTAAATTTTCCATATTCCTCTTCGAACATTGAAATGCACTCAGAGGAAGTCAGCACTCCAATTCTCTGCAACTGAAGATTTAATGATTTCTGGGCCAGATAACACTACAAACAACATAAAGATAATCATGTAACTGGACATGTTAGACAATTCCAAAGTGGACAATAAAAAATGGATTAAGGCCTTATCAACAAACCTGAGTAACATTTGTTCGATCAAGGGAATCAATACAGTTTGCTCTGAAAAGTCCTCTCTGCTCCTCGAGTACCTTTCCTTGTCTATCTATCAGGAAGTATCTGCTCAGCTGAAATAGCAATAATTAAAAACCTGAATTATGGATTTGCCAGTATACCTTGATTGTGGCAACTAGCTATGAATTTTATATAAAACTTATTTTTCCATTACCTTTGTTTTTCAAAATCCTCTGAGATTTTATCATAGAGGATTTTCAGATTATCAAAGTTTGAGCTCCCACAGTAATGATGAAAATCAAAAGCCACATATCTGCCATAATCCATTATCGTAAAAGTGAAGTTAAAGCTATACTACAGCCAAGCCAACTTCATAATTTCATGAAAAAAAAAAAAAACAAGTGAAGTGCATGAAGAAAAAAAATTATGTTTAAATTATCACCTCACATTTTGCTGATTTTGCATTTCAGCAGCATATGCTGCACTTAGTTGACCTTCTTCACCATGCTATAACAGGAAAATTAAAAAGAATTTGCTCAAAATAACACACAAAAAGTAACAAGCAATTAAAAAGGGAATATTTGATGTGGAAACTGGCTGATGATTATTATATCCGTAAGGACATACTAACCAAACTCAGCCAAACCATAGCCACAATTTCCCTACATAAAATTTGGAGATGTGAAAAGGGATACTGGAAAAGAAAAAAAAAAAAAAACTAGAATATGATCAGATGCAAAAGTCCTAAACATGTCCAATCTTTTAACCCCCAACATGAACCAAATGCTTTACTGCTCAATCATGAACATACTTGCCTCCAAAGTATCAGGAAGATCTTTGGACTTGCTATAAATCTTAAAAATCAATTTATTGGTTTAAGTAGAGAGAGAAGAACAAAGCCATACTTTATCAGTAAGATCAAGTGCTACAACTTCTCCGTATCTTTGCATGAGATCATGGAAATGACGATCCACAATCTTGGGCTGGAGTATGAGGGGAGAGGAAAAAACAAAAGAAACATGTATAAATGTAAATCTCATGATAAAACCATTAAATTGCTGGCGGAATTGAGAGATAGAAGTATACTGTTTCCTCATGACTAATAACCCTAAGGTGGGGTTTATAGCTTAGATCAACAATCTGCTCCCAAAGAATAGGAATTGAACCTCGAGCCTGTGAAACAATCAAATGGAGTACAAATCACAAATTGGGAGAAAAAAATATTGATATCGGTGAGTGTATGTGTGCGAGCAAAGAGGAGCATCCTGGGGATGGAGTGGTTTTCAGTAGCCATTGCAGCCTAGCAGATTTTCACGTGCTATTGAAGTGCTACCTTGATGCAGGCTTCAAAAACTCATTTGCGCCACAAAATATCGTTGTTTAGGAATATTTTGGACAGAATTGTTATTCTCTCATTTTCTATGTTACCCATGTCTTAACCTTTGTTCCAAGAACATCTTTTTTGCTGTGTTCCAGTCTTTCTTCGTCCTTTTGACTTCTTGGCTCACTTTATGCTAATTTTGTGTATTGTTATGCTCTTTTTCTACTATTTTCATCATCATTCATTTTTTGAATTCATTAGTATGTTCTTGTTGCTCCTAGATTGATGCTGATGATGTGTAAACTGTGGCTTATTATTTATCATGATTTTCTTTTGAGTATTCATATGTGTAGTATGAATTATTTAGTTTGTGTTTTAATGTATAATAGCATTCATTCTGCTTTCCGCTACAGCAATTTCAGAAGCACTTTAAATTACAAAAGCACTGTTAAATTACAGTTATTGCTTGATATTTAATTCCATTGGCAAAGATACCAAGAGGAGTACGGAATAATTTTCTCTACTCGAAACTAGGAAAATTTAAAATATCCAAATATACAAAACTATGTTCGTACAGCAAATAAACTAGTGAATCTATACATTCTGCACATTATATTACTTGTTATTTATATTCGAAAATTTAAATATCATGAAAATATAGCATTTAAAGTCATTCAGCATGTTTGACAACAGTACAAATTCTCAGAAACACAGACAACATGCTAGTCAAAAACATAATCAGCAGTGCAGAGAAATTACAGAAAGAAATTGCTGGAAGTTGACATTGATTAAAATATAATAATACCTGCAAAAATGAGAACTTGAATTCTTCAGTTTCAAACAACTGTTCGGTTTCAATAAAATTAGCAGTGTCACCTTCAAAGTTAGCTCCTCTTCTCCACATTCTTGTTCCTATGTCATCATATTGCCATACTATAATGAGCTTTTACAAACATATAACAATCTAATTATGAAGCTTTTTGGACATTGTACCTAGACGTCGTGTACATCTCCTTGAAAATAATGTTACTATAGCATTTGAATCTTTTAGCTTTAGCTGTGCTGCTTGGAAGCTTAAGCCCAGTTAAGGGAGAACATAACTTGCTTCTTAAACCAACAAAATGCTTCATCTTTATCATTGTTTTGGTAATGACAGTATTTGGAGAACATATGCACACACACACACACACATAAAGAGAATTGGGGCAGGGAGAGGGATGGAAGCAGAGGCAATTTAAAATTCAGGATATTCCCTTGCACTATGGGCACGATGAATCTGTCAAGCTGCCATCATAAAGATAGTTGTTTAGGAGACAAAATAATGATCAACCTTTAAACCCTTTTTCTTTATAAACAAAATATTTCCTTTTATTAGTGAAACTAAAAACCCTTTTACTTCATCAAATAGAGAGAACTGGCAAATAATCTAACCTTAAACTCAATAAGCTCCTCCAAAAGATGTTTGTTCCAGACAAATCGAGGGTCAGCCTGAATTTTAAACAGAAAATTGAAACTTAAAAGTTTCATAATGTTTCTACTAATAATTGCATTAAATGGTGCCAATGGGATCAAGAGACCTTTATTTCGACTTTCCTATTCTACAATTAAATGTATCAGATAAATGGTCCAAAAATGATTATATAACATGTTTCAAAAACTATTCAGTTATGAATTATCAGAAATTTGGAGACTAAAGCCTGATGGAGATATGGAGAAGTAAATTTCAAATCATTTAACGATTGAATTTGATGACAATTATTCCCAGAAGATCAAGAATTATGTCAACTAACCTGTTTCCAGATTGGCTTACTTGTCCACCCTTCTACTAGCTTATTTCTTCTCTGCAAGCTGGTGGACATGATAAATTACATTTTATGAATATATCAGTCTTGGAATGATACGAATATGAAGTGACTTAGGGTCACACACTTCTCCTATGGTCACACACTTCTCCTAAAACACTTTCAGGAAAGAAAAATAAGAAGAAAAAAAAAAAAAGTTTCCCATAAGCTAAGTTATAGAAGTTCTCTCATATAATTTATTTAAAATATAATTTTTAACTTATGCCAAAACTTATTTTAGTGTATGGAGAAACTTATTTCATTTTTTTCTTCTTATTTTTTTTTTCTAGAAGTATTTCTAGAAATGTTTGCCCAAATAATCCCTAAGAAGATGTAAACCAGCAATAAGTCAGTGATTCTTACTTTAATGTTATATCTGTTTCGTATGAATAGTACAAGCCTGGCATTGACTCCACTATTTTTAATAGGTTCACAAAGTAAGTCTCATCCTTTTTCTACAAAATGGTAGCAAACAAAAGATGCATCATATATGCAGATAACATATACAGAATTTTAATGATGCCTGAATGATTTCTCTCTTTACAAATCCTTACTTCTTGAGCAGTTGAATACCTCAAAGCATCATTACACGCAAGTATTCTCATGGACATCAAACGATATACTGGAAAACCAAGGAAACTTCCAACTTCCTTCCGAGATGTTATTACAACAGCATACGTTCCTATGCCCATGCACACAACATTGAGTCTTAATGTGTATAAAGGAAGTTATGTTGTTAGATTGAGTGGCTACTGAAAAATAAAAAAATAAAAAAAATTGAGTTCATCTCAATTCTTTTAGTTTGCTCAACTTCTTTACTATAAAGCAGATACAATGAATATGATTTATTCATGAAGAAGGCAACATATTAGACATTCATGCTTAACAAGAGAGGTGAAAGAATAACAATTGTACGAACGGCTTAATTAACCAAAAAAGTATGATTAGGTACTATGTTCAGATATTGATGTACAAACAGGATTAGATTTATTTCTTTCCAGGCCAACAAACATCTCAACCAAACAAGGATCCTCAAGAAATATTAGGAAGGGATTAGATGTTAATATCATCCAATCTAGAGCATCTTCACATGCAAAGGGACAAATGAATCAATGTGAAAACAAATGCAAATGCAAGTATACATAAAAATTCAACACGGTAAAAGACAAAAGATGTTCTACAAATCAAAATAACCACTTTTTGCAAGAAATATACAGTAGTGCCATTGCACGGTAAAATTTGTCACCAAAGGGCAATGTGTGGCAGGCTCCTGGACAGTTTTATTATAAACATATACAACTCAAGATAAAAGCCTGCAAGCATATCTACCTACAATCAATCGTATGGTTCCCACCACACCATAAATTGTAGATGTTTTCAGTGGACTTCCAGAGAATGTGCCACCTGCAAAGAAAAAGAAAATAATCATAACGGAAATAAATACAATAAAATGGTCAAATTCAAATACTTTTTTCATAATTTGCGACGTAGCATACATGGAGCTGAAGCTAAATAACCAACTAAGATCCAACCAAACCTAAGAAAGAAGAAACAGTAAACTTTCGCTACAACTGATTCATAAATGTGCAAATGGAGATACTCAGCATATAACACTACACACGATCTTCCCTTTTCCCACAATAAAAGCCAACATCCACAAACACATTAAATAAACATTATGTTCACAATTAAACAACATATTCATAAAATTCCAAGTCCCCCTCAAAAAAATTCCACTTTCAAAATAACTTAACTTTCTAACTTATTTTATCTGATCAACGAGTAATAAACTTCACAGAACATTTCCTGCAATTTCTAAGCAACCAATCACTAAGTGAAGAAACTGAAACTCAGAAAAGATCACCATCATCAAGTAAATTGATGTTGCCATCGAGACGGTTAATCCAGAAGCCCTGGTTGGGGGATTGGTGGGATTTGATCACGAACTTGTCCTGAAACTCAAGTAGTTCCAGCTCATCGTAAATCTTGAATCTTTCAAGTGAACCCGAAGGGGATTCAATGTCCATTGTCACAGAATTGCACAAACAAGACAATCCCCGAAGAAATTTGGCTGGACAACGTTAATTTTTGTAACAATGATGAGAAAGCCACAGAGAACAATGAACATTTCCTCTTCAACAATCAAGACCAATTTTGTGACATTTTGTATTAAATTACAATCATACCCTCGATAATATTCGTAACCCGATATTTTATTCGTAAACCAAATCACCAAGTGACGTGTTGGATTTAGTTTATTAGGAGATATAATCATGATTTTTGTCAAATGTTTTCTAAAAATACCTAAATCAGATATGTAACAAATAAAACAGGAAAATAATAATTAGTTTTCAGAAAATAAGTTATTAATCCAAAAAAAAAAGTAGTTTGAACTATATCATATATTAATAAATAATAAATAATAATTAAGAGGTGTTATAAATTTATTGATTTTAATAATGAAAAATTAACAATTATACATTGTTTACAAATAAGTTAGTTATTTGATTATTTTTTTAATGAATTGAGATTGTTATTCAGAAGATCAATATATAAATAATATTTTTTTCTTTTATTGCTTTCGAATATTGAGTGTTGTGAATTCCCTTCCATGTCAACTTTTAATTATCGCGATTACACTTAATTTGTCAATATTGAGATTAATTGTTATTTTACTTCCCTTCCACGGAGACGTTAGTGGACAAGTCCCCAAAATTTGGATTTTTTTTTATATTTATAAAAAATTTAAAATTAAACTAAATTATTTTTTAAATATAAAAATGTATTATTATATTTTTATAAATATAATAATTATCATTTTTATTCTTTATATAATTTATTATTTATATCTTTTTTCTCTTATTTTTTTATTTTTTTCCTTCTTTTTACTTTTTACATTTTAATTTCAGAATTTTATCTTTCTTTATTATTCTTTTATTTGCATATTATTTTTAGTATTCTTTCACTTCCATTTCACTTTCATATTTTTTTTATCTTATAATGTAAAAATTATGAATTTTTTTCTTTAATTTTTTTTAAATAAACATTTTTTATTATTTTTTTACTGTTATAATATATTAATATATATTATTTATTATCAATTAATTAGTTATTTTAATATTTTATGATGATTAATTTTGATGTTAAGATGTTAAAAAAAATTAAGTTAAATTTTAAAGATGTTTATAAAAAAAGTTATATATTAATTTTTTAAGAATAAAGAAAAAATACATGATAAAATAATTTTTAACTTACTATATTTAAATTTAAAAAATAATATTAAAAATATTATTGAATAATTTATAATACAAAATTATATAATAATTGACTATTTTTATAATATAAAATATCGTTAAAATATATTTAAAATATATTTAATCTCATATATATATATATATATATATATATATATTATATCATAATGATTTATAATTTTATATAATATCTATTTTATCACAATTAATTTTAGTGTATATTATATCTAGTGTCTTTAGTTTGGCCACTTTCAACCATGATGAATTTACTAGGATGAAAAGTAAATTTTACAATAACTACTTAGAACGTGTGGTCAAAAGTGTAATGATAATTTTATAATATAGATAATAATTTTTTAAAATAATTATATCTTTAATTAATAATATGATAAAAAATAAATCTTTAATTCTTATTTAAATAGATAAACGTTTATTTTTCTTATCATATAAATCTACACTAAATTAAATAGATGTGAAAGATCTCACTTTCTAGATAGTCTACAAATTTATGGACACTTTCATAAATCCCTAATGCAAACCCTCCCTTATCGGTTATGCATGAAATAGCTATGGTGAGGTGGTAAAGTGATCCAACTTTATTATGATTTGATAATTAATGTAATGTAATATTGTATTTTAAAGTTTAGATTAGGGGAACTGAAAATCCAGTTTCTTTGTAGTGGAATCTATGTATCATCAATTAGTAATACAAGAAATTTGAGAATCAAATACAGGTCAAAGTATTAGGGAAGATTCGAGACTTGCTGATTGTGCCAACTTTATTATTGAAACAAGTTACGTCGATCGGAATATGATTCGAGATCGTGAACCATGTTCTTTATTCATTCACGTGGTGGCACAAATTGCAAACCACGAACTCCCAAAACAGAAGTATCATATTTTTAGCTTGTCATGATTATTTTATGTGGTATTATGCAGTAAGGTATCGTGTGACAGCACATTCTTCGCAATTTCCTTGGTGATCTTAGAGTCCAAAGGCTTCCTCTTCAGAAAATTTGAGTACCATTCAGCAGAAAGCTTTGGTTGTCTCCTTAAGTTTGGATCATTCATATCTACGTAGTATAGGCCATAACTTTGTTCATATCCACCCACTAACTCGTATGCATCCATGAAGGACCATACAAAGTAACCTTTTACGTTTGATCCACTCCTTTTGATGAGTCGAGAATGAAGCAAAAGAATAAACAAATATCAGCTTTCGTGAATATAATATTACAATAAAGTTGAGAGGTTATGTTACGATTTATACACCCTTTTAACTTGGCTTGAAAATGAAAATCGAAGTAGAAGTACCTTAGCGCATCAACCAAACTTCCAATGTATGCTTGCAAAAACTTCACCCTAGACAAGTCCTCTAATGATGAATTGTGAGGTGTTTTTTGGCCTGCAAAGATAAAAAGACTTACCATACGACTATGTAATACCATGGTTGAATATGACAAAAACAAGAAACATGCTTTGGGATTGCAATTGTGACCATGTTTGTCCACAATTTCACACAGAGGTCACCATGAAATGCGATAGCAGATGTCATGAGTTGGAAAATCTACCTACCATTTTCATGTATGTATATTGGTATATTTCCATAAGCTTTCTTTATTGAGTCTAGCACCCCTAGGAAAATATCGGGAGTAATTGGTACCTAAACAAACAGATGGTTAGTTGAAAGTATTCTCTATCCTTACAAAATGAAGAATTAATATATTGATTCCATGTTACCTCATCTGGTGCTGTATCCTCTCGAAGGATTCCTACAATCAGACAAATATAATAGTTAGCTATTTTCAGGTGCAACAACTGATTTCACTTACTGGACGTACTAACTAAATAATTCATTAGCTAGACAGTTCAAAATATTAAAATTTAAACAACATTTGTTAATGTTTGATTACATGGACTATGGTAGTTTATTAGAAGACTTAAACTGGTGGAGGTAAGAAAAAAAAAATGAATTTGTGATCAGAGACAAGCTGGCATACAGAAGCAATTCCATCAGGGTGAGTGACATAAGGTCTATAAAATGTATTAGCAATGTCAACAACAAAGAGTTAGAAAATTTAAAGATTTAACAAAAAACATATGAATTCAATTATCCAAAGGAAAAATCACAAATACTGACACAAACCCTTTAAAACAACAGTGTTGCTGAAAATAAAGTAAATTAAGTCATCTTCATTGCATGAGAATTTTGTTAAGGTTGATGTCCCACAGAATAAATAATATATAAGTAACTCGTTAAACCTCGATATATAATTTGTTTCGCAATAAAGATAGGTCAGGGAAAAAGCTTATATCATACTTTCAGATTCCATTGCTATATCTGCTATGAAATCTCTATCCTCATTTTGCAGGTTGCCAGGATTGTTCTTAACATAAAATGAGAAGTAAAAGTTTAGTCCTAAGAAGTCAATTGAGTTCCTGATCATATTTGATTCCTTTTTGGTGAAGTAAGGAAGCCTTGACCCAGCATTCTTTCTCATTATATCAGGGTAATCTCCAAATGTAATAGGATCCAGAAACCTGAAATAACAAATCATAGACAAGAAGAACTGTAGCAATTAATGTATAAATTGAAAGCTATGCCATTTATTTGATTGGGAAAAAATGTTGGATTCTTATAAAAATCCTTCACTGCAACATTACGTATTACGAAATCATTCATAAATGATCCAAGAGTTTAATCATTGTCAGTTCTATATATAGTTTGACCTATATGCAAGCAAGATGGTGTGTACTATCATGCTTAATCCTTAAGAAATGTTACATAAGGGAAAACATTAGAGAATATATAAATCTTGTTTTTTTCACGTAATAGTTTATTTATTCATTTTTTTTCAAGATCTAGACTTGGTTTTTTGCAATCCCAGGATGCAAATTTGTTAATGTCAACAGGCATTAGAAAGAGGTATCGTGAATATGGTGTTACTTACCACCCGATATTGAAGTCTCGGGCCCTTTGAGCAGCCCTTACATCATCAGTAGAGTTAGTTTTTGGAACATAACCAAAACTAATGATATTTAACCCAATAACGCCACGCTGTATGGCCTGCATCCAACAGAAATTGTTGTCTGAATAAATAAAATGATGATTAACCATTTCAAAATGACATCATGGTTATGATGACCTCTAATGATATCGTTCTAGATTATTGTTCAAAATGGGAATAGAACGCCTAATGAATGACATATAGTAGAATGGTGCATTTTGTTAGATAATTTTTACCTGGTATTTTTTCCTATAGAGCCTAGCAGCTGAAGCATGTGCTAACAACATATGATGGGCTGCCAAATATGGCTCAGTTGATGAATTTCCTTTGGAGCAGTTAACTAAAGACGATGGAGAACACCGCTGAGGTGGTGAGATTCCTACATCATACCCAAAAATTGCATATGCATTGGCCTCATTCACTGTAGTCCAATGCTTCACTCTGTCACCAAATTCTCTAAAGCACACATCCGCATATGCTGTGAAGTCTTGCCTATAAGCATTCAGATATAAATATGTTAATCACAATAAAAACCATTGCTCAGTTGACTGATGTATTTGCATCATCTCTATCAAGGACAATTAGAGATTTGAAGTTTGGGAACAATACACAACACTTCGGCTAAGCCATCCTTCATATTCATCCTCCAATATTTGCGGTATGTCAAAATGGAGCAGCGTAACATGTGGCTGGATTCCTAGAAGATGAGGAATTAAACAAAAATAAATATATAGAACTTGGAAACCTTTCTAAGGCGTTAATCAAAATTTATTCTAGTCCTCACAACCATGGCTTATCAGTTCATTGATGAGGTTGTTATAATACTGCAGACCCTTGGGATTCACTAGTCCTCTTCCATCTGGTAATACATGGAAACAACATGGTCACAACAGCATGGGAATAACAGTTTGATCAAATGTCAGAGATTCAATGCGCGTAAACTACCGAGTGTTGACAGTGATTTACGAATTAATGTCCCTGACAACATTTTGGTGACCTAACCTGGAATAAGCCTTGACCATGATATGGAAAATCTGTAGGCTTCTAAGCCCATGTCCACCATGAGCTGAACATCTTCCTGCAGGAAAATCAAGGTATGATATTTGCTCAGAACAGACAACAAAGTTATTTTAAGTGAATTTAAAGCCAGTGGTGTCTATAAGATGCATCTTGTGTGCATGCATCATATAGGGTGACAGACCTTGTATCTGTGATATTGATCACACGCAACATCTCCATCACCTACGTACTTATTCCCTGAAAATATATTTTGGTAATCAATAATTGAACAAAACAATAACATTAAACACTGGAAAGAAAAATTGATATCAAGAAATAATGAAGTATATGTGTGGGTAGAGGATAATCACCAGAATGAGCAAAGGTATCCCATGTGCTTGGCTTCCTGCCATCCTCATTCGCTGCACCTTCAACCTTTCACACACATATATATGGTTTAAGACAATCATAAACAGAAAGTAAAGGGTATTAAGTATTTACTGGTGAAGAGGAGAATGAGAGAGAGAGACAAAGAAGAACCTGGTAAGCTGAGGTTGATGCACCAAACACAAAGTCTGGAGCGAACTCATCTCTGTGCAAGGTATGAGCAGTACTAGGAAAAAGTCCTACCAATAATATTTGTACAAGAGTAAACACCTTCAGCATCAACTGCATTTTGCTTGATGTTGTGTAATGTTTTGGGAGGGACAAATTCAGCGAGTTTATTCTTATTTTCTCTCTTGGCTACTTCATTTATAAGTAAACTATCTTTGGAGAAAGTGCATAGTGCTCACACACTACTCATAATCGTAGACCAAATAATTAAAAATATCATAGATAAAGTTTTCAAAAAAATTTAGAACAAATATGGCAGCAACTTTACTGTCAACAAAATAGTGATATCTGTGTGGTCTGATTTACTTTTTGACCCTTGAATCTGCATGTGATGTGATCGTGTTCCACAAGGCTAGGAGATTTTATTGAATGAAAATCATTTATAGTTAAACTTTTAACTAAATTACACGTATCCTCCCAGATTCTGTGTCCTACATCATTGAGAATTAGTCAGAAAGTTTTATTGAATAGAAAGATTGGAATTTGTACTGCACTATATGATACATATATATAATTCGAGCAAGCACGTTATAATTTTTTTGCCCTTAATAAATTCCCAAACTTGGTAATAGTTTATATAGAAGTATTAACATAAACAATAATTTGATTTCCCTTAAAAAAATGGAAAACCTCTAAAATAATTTTGGTCAAATTATTAGAAAAGTTTGTGCGATACACCCACGTTATACATAATTTTATATGAAGTTAAATTTATACAAGTTAAATTTATATTTTGTTTAAACTAGATATTGGACGCCACGTTGTACGGTTTATAAATAATTATATTATTTACAGATATGAAGATATTTCTAAAAATATTATAGTATTTATAATTTCAATATGTTAGAAATATTTTAAAAAATATATTTTTATATTCAATTATAACAATAAAAATAAAAATTGTAAATATTTGTTGAAATTGACAATAAATTAATATATATATTTGCAGCAAGTGTATTATATTCAATTTATTTGTAAATGAAAATTTGTCAAAACTTTAATTAACAAATTAATTATACGTGGAAAACATATATTTGTCCAAATGTAGGTTATAAACATTGTTAAAAGTAATCCATTTAATCATAGTTGTAATGCATATGTATATGAGATCCGTGTGTGTAATTAGTCTGATTTTCAGTCATGACAAAATATGCTTTTTAGAAAGTTACGATGACGAATATCTAAAATTTTCACATGATTTTGACATCATTTTATTCATTTGCCTTTGATTTTAAACTTGTTCCGAGAGCAAACTTGCATTCTTCTGAGTTTGCTTGGTGATCATAGGCTTCCCTTTCAGAAAATCTGAGATCATATCAGAGAGCTTAGGTTGTCTCTGTCAGATCATATCTACGTAAATCTTACATCTAAGAAGGCCTTTAACATTTAATCCACTCATGCCAAATGACGATTATAGGTGCTATGTGGACATTGTAGATTAACTTTACAACTTGAAAATGAAAAGGAAAGTAGAAGTAACTCAGTGCGTCGATCATGCTTCCATGTAATTATGCAAGTAATTCACCCTCTGCCAGTCATCTAATGAAGAATCATCCGGTGTTTTTTAAATTGTCACATACAAAGAAAGATTGAGGGATTAAAATTGGTTAAGAAAAATATTGTTGGGGGACTAAATTGAATATTGTAAAAAGATAAGAAAATAAAAAAGAAATATCCCAAAATATTACATGTGTCTGAAATGTTAGATTTATAGTTGATCTGAAAAATCACACCTTATTACTTAAGAGCGACCCTTAACCATAGATATTAACAATATGGATAAATAATTTTTTTTTTCACTATTTTTTTTACTTTTGTTCAATTTAGTTTCACTGCTATTTTACATATTAATTTAGTAGTAATCAATGTAAATTTTATTTGTAAATTCTATTAAATTGTCTAATAAAAAAATATCATGTAGTTATTAGTACGAGCCTATTTTATAACAAGATACCAAATCATTTGCTCAATAACGTAATATATATGAAGCGTGATAATTTTGTAAATATTGGAAATGTAATTAATGAAGTATCTCATATTGATTGTTAGATCAACTAATGGAATAGGTCCTTTTAAATTTTCAGCTTTTCCCTCCACTTACTTTAGTACATCACCAAGAGAAAAATGAAAATGTGAAGCAAATTTCACTCTCTTCTAACTCTTCCATCAATGTTTTGTGTCACCGTTTTGTTACTATCTTCATCGTTTGTTGTCTTACTGTTTGCTACAACATGTCGTCATAGTCCTCCATGCGAGATTGCTCTTTAGTGTGTATCATTGTTGTTACATGCTCTTCTTGGTTTTAACTATTGTTGTTAATTTGAGTTATTCTTCGTAACATTTTCACTTTTGTATTTGTTTTCTTTGGAGATCTGCCACTACAAGATCCATATTCGCAAAATCTCAAACCACTGTTATCTTCTTTGATGATAGAGTCAGTGTAACAGGATTTCGTCACGATTATGCAAAACGCGCTCCCCAGCACATACCAATGAATGAGTGAGGATCTCCCTAGCTTCAACTGCCACAACTACTTCGCCAAGATTCCAGACATGTCGGGGCGCTTGTACGGCGGTAATGCACGTCCAGAGGTCAGGTTTAAGCATGTTCCCGCAACGCAACTGTTGTATAAGGTTTGTGGGTCTCGTAATGTGGTTTACATTTCGAGACAAGGAGGGATGCGGTGTTTGGAATGACTAAAAACGATGTGCCTAATAGTAAAAACTTGTTTTCATTATATATATATATATATATATATATATATATATATATATATATATATATATATATATATATATATATATGTTATGATGGGTTTTTTATATAATATTTATATATAAAAAAGATTCAATATGAATGATATTTCCGTTTTAATTATTTGAATCAAAATAATAATACAATATATTTTTGAATATAATAAAAATTTAATAAAATAATAATATGTATTCCAGCTACGTGGTCACTGCTTTGTTTCTTGCTTTGACAACTACATGTTTTCCATGGTACAAGAAGTTACATTTGACCGAAATATAATTTGAGATCGTAAACCATGTTCTTTTATTCATTCACGTGCACAAATTCCAAATCACGAACTCCAAAAACAGAAGTATCGTGAATTTCAACTTGTCATGATTATTTTATGTGCCACTATGCAGTATGGTATCGTGTGACAGCACATTCTTCGCAATTTCTTCGGTGGTCTTCTGGTGCATAGGTTTCCCTTTCAGAAAATTTGAGTACCATTCAGCAGAAAGCTTTGGTTGCCTCCTTAAGTTTGGATCATTCATATCTACGTAGTATAGGCCATAACTTACTTCATATCCACCCACTAATTCGAATGCATCCATGAAGGACCATACAAAATAACCTTTTACGTTTAATCCACTCCTTTCGATGTGTCAACAATGAAGCAAAAAGAATAACAAAAACCAGCTTTAACGAAACAATTGACAATTATTGTAATAACATAGGTGTTATACACCCTTTTAACTTTGCTTGAAAAAGAAAAGCAAAGTAGAAGTACCTTAGCGCATCAACCAAACTTCCAATGTATTCTTGCAAGAGCTTCACCCTCGACCAGTCCTCTAATGATGAATTGTGAGGTGTTCTTTGGCCTGCAAACATAAAAAGACTTACCATACAACTATGTAATAGGATGGTTGAATATGACAAAAAGAGAAACATGCTTTTGGGATTGCAATTGAGACCATGTTTGTCCACAATCTTTCACACAGAGTTCAACAACATGAAATGCGACCGCAGACACAATTTAAAATCTTCAATACTATAGTATGTCATGAATTGGAAAAACGCCCTACCATTTTCATGTATGTATATTGGTATATTGCCATAATCTTTCTTTATTGAGTCTAGCACCCCTAGGAAAATATTGGGAGTAATTGGTACCTAAACAAACAGCTGGTTAGTGGAAAGTATTCTATATCCTTACAAAATGACGAATTAATACATAAAGGAAGCACCATGTTGATGCCATGTTACCTCATCGGGTGCTGTATCCTCTCGAAAAATTCCTACAATCAGACAAATAATAATTAGCTATTTTCAGTTCCAAAAACTTCGAAGAAGCTGCCACAATGGTACTGATGACATTCAAAATATTAAAGTTTAAACAGGATTTGTTAATGTTTTGTGTACATGGACTACGGTAGTTTATTGGAAGACTTGAACTAGTAGAGGTAAGAAAAGGAAATGAATCTGTGATGAGGTATGTGTGTTAATATTTATATGTTTAAAGAGACAATATTACATATAGAAGACATTCATCAGGGAGAGTGACAGAAGGTCTATAAAATGTATTAGCAATGTCAGCAAGGGCAAGAGACATTGTTGTTAATAAAATTTGCTGTCTCAAAGAATTCTTAGATTTAAATATTTTTATAAAAAACATATAAATTCAGTTATCCTTAGGAAATAGAAAAATCTCAAATATTGACTCATGTACCCTTTAAAACTACAGTTGCTGAAAATAAAACAAAGTAAATAAGTCAACTTCCTTCCATGAGAATATGTTAAGAACGAGATCCCATATAATTTGTTATGCAATAAAGATAGGTCAGGGAAAAAGCTTATATCATACTTTCAAATTCCGTTCTATATCTGCTATGAAATCTCTATCCTCATTTTGCGGGTTGCCAAGACTGTTCTTAACATAAAAGGAGATGTAAAAGTTTACTGCTATAAGAAGTCAATTGAGTTCCTGATCATATTTGATTCCTTTTTGGTGAAGGAAGGAAGCCTTGTGCCAGCATTCTTTCTCATTATGTCAGGGTAATCTCCAAATGTAATAGGATACATAAACCTGAAATAACAAATCATAGACAAAATACCAATTAATTTATAAATTGAAAACTATACCATTTATTTGATTGGGAACTGTTGGAACTGAATATCATGTTGACAAACAAGTATTTAAATAAAATATTCTATATATTATCACTAGATGTATTTTTGCAATGAGTGATACATGATCAATTTATAGGCTTCTGGATATGGTATCTCAATTACATGTATTTAATATAACCACTACCTCTCAACTACCTACGTACATTCAATACAATCACTATCTCTCAACTACATACATTTAATGTTTACCTAACAAAATCCTCCCATAAACTTAAATGCTTTTCTTGTTCTTCATTCCAAGTATCTTCTTGTCGTTTTCGAACAGAGTGGTCGACAGTGACTTCGTGAACATATCTGCACCTTGTGCTTGGGTTTCGACGTGCTCTAACTCCACATTTCCTTCTTTCACTTGTTCTCGGATGAAGTAAAACCGAACATCAATATGTTTGTTTCTCTCATGATTGGCTGAGTTCTTTGCCAATTCAATGACTGATTTGTTATCAACTCGAATCTCGGTCCCTTTTTCTTGCTTCAACTCTAGCTTGCTTAGAAGGTATATAAGTCAAACTGCATGACAGCCACTCCAGGATGCTGCAACATACTCGGCTTCGCAAGTGAACAACATTACAATGGACTACTTTTTTGAAAGTCAGGTGAACGTTGTGTTTCCCATGAAGAATACATATCCATACGTGCTTTTCCGGTCATCAACATCTCCACACCAGTCACTATCTGAGTAGCCTACTAGTCGGTAATCATCCGTCCTAGTATACATTAGGCCAAGTGACACTGTTCCTCTCACATACCTTAGAATTCTCTTTAGTGTCTTCCAATGAGTATACCTTGGTTCCTCCATATATCGACTTGTTATTCTAACACTTAGTATTAAATCTGGTATGGTATTTGTAAGATACCTAAGACTTCCAATCAAATTTCGGTATTTGCACGCATCAACTCGGTCTCCATCTGTATACTAAGAAAGTTTTGTACCAGGTTCCATAGGGTGGAAACCGGGTTGCAACTTGTCATCTTAAACTTCTTCAAGACCTACTCAGCGTATCTTTCTTACGACACAAAGATGTCATCCTTTCCTTAAACAACTTCTAAACCAAAGAAATACTTCATAAGACCAAAGTCAGTTATCTCAAACTCCTTCTTCATCACTTCTTTAAACCCTTCAATCAGCTCGACATTATTCCCCATAAAGATAAGGTCATCAACATATAGGGCAACGAACATCACATCTTCTTCTTTATGTATAGAACATGTTCATAAGGACATTGTTCATATCCATTCCTCTTGAAGTAAGTGTTAATTCTTTCATTTCATGCTTGTGGAGCTTGTTTTAAGCCATAAAGTGTCTTCTTCAATCTCAACAATTTCTTCTCTTCACCCTTCGCATGTATCCGAGTGACTGTTCAACATATACTTCCTCCTCTAAGACTCCATTCAGAAATTCCGATTTCATGTCCATTTGTGTTGAGCTGCTAAGGAAATTAACAACTTAATTATTTTCATCTTCATCACTAGGGCGAATACTTTGTCATAGTCTATTTCTTCCTTCTGCTTGTACCCTTTCACTACGAGTCGATATCGCTCAACTTCTTCTTCAGCATGTGTCTTCTTCTTGTACACCCACTTTACACCAATAGGTCGTGCTCCTTTGGGCAAATCAGTCAGCTCTCACATGTTGTTGCGTTCTATTGTCACAATCTTTTTGTTCATTGCCTTTTTCCACCTTTTCTCCTGCACGACCTCTTCAAAACTTAAGTATTTTGAATCTGCCAAGAAACATACAGCATGCACTTCGTCAATGGAGTTGTATATATCTTATAAACTTCGCGCTCTGGGCTGTAGAGGTTCATCTTCTTCATCAGAAGTCTCATGATCTGTCACAATATATGGTGTATCAACTTCCGAGCTTCTACTTCTTATGGACTCCTTCTCCGGGTTGTTTTAACTTCACTCGCTTTCTTCATCAATTTGAACATCTCGACTCATAATGATCTTCTTAGTTATTGGGTTAAACAACTTGTACGTCTTGGTTTTTTCATCATATCCAATAAATACGTACTTTTTATTTCTATCTTTGAGCTTGGTCCTCTATTGAGCTGGAGCATAACCATAAACTATGTTGTCGAACACTTTAAGGTGAGACACACTCGGCTTTCTTCTACTCAAGACTTCTTGTTGTGTCTTCTCGTTTAACTTAACATGTGGACATCTATTTTACACATAGATGACACATTGCACTGCTTCTGCCAGAACTCCTTTGGCACATTCTTGCTTCTCAATATTGTTCGAACCATATCAAGAATGGTTCGATTCTTCCTCTCGGTAACTCCATTTTTTTGGGGGTGAGTATAATGTTGTTAGAATTCTCCTTATCCCTTGCTCCTTGCAATACTTCATGAGCTCGGATGAAATTAACTTGCCTCCTCGATCAGACCTAATAGATTTAATAGGCATGCTAGTCTCTTTCTCAACCATTACTTTAAATCTCTTGAACACCTCAAATTTCTCCTTCAAAAATATACCCAGGTTTTTCTTGAAAAATCATCTATAAAAGAAATGAAATACCTTTTTCTACTGAAAGACTCAGGGGTAATCGGTCCACAAAGATCTGTGTGAATCAATCCGAGTTGTTCCTTTACACGGTACTCGGCAATCCTCGAAAATGAGGTCCTCGGATGCTTCCCGATCACACACTCTTCACAAAACTTCTTTTCAAATTCCATAGACAGTCCTCGCTCCATCTCTTTTTTTACCAACTCGGTCAGCCCGCTAAAATGCAAGTGGCCAAATCGAAAGTGTCACATTATTGCTTCATCCTTCACATCAAGTTTCAAGCACCTCTCTTGGACTATCTTCAAGTCCAGCTTATACATTTTGTTCTTCTTCATTTCTACTCGGGCAATCAAACGATCTGACTTGTCCTTCAAGTATAGTACTCGGTCTTTCATAAGAATTGAGTAGCCTTTCTCCATCAGCTGCCCCATACTTAATATGTTGTTTTTGAGATCGAGTACATAGTACACGTATCTGATTTCTCCAACTCAACTATTCTTCTGCAGGTACCAGATTGTACCTCGACCTTTTACTATCACCTTTGATGCATCTTCAAACGACACGTGTCCGACCTCAACTTTAGTGAGCTCCTTAAGAAGGTTCTCATTCCCGCATATGTGGTTACTTGCTCCTGTATCAAGATACCAAATCGAGTTGTCAGAACAACTCACACTTAACCTGAAATTCGAACTTCTCGATATCATCAATACTCCTTCTTCCTCAGCGTCCTCAAAGAGGAGGTTTGTTTCCTTCTTCTTCTCAGATCAACAGTCCTTCGCGAAATGTCCAATCTTCCCACAATTATAACATTTGATACCTGAATAACAGTCTTTAGCAAAATGACCGTACTTCCCACATTTGAAGCACTCAACTCCGAAATTTCTTGACTGACCACCTCGACCTCTACTGCCACGACCTCTACCTTGTTTTTGGCCACGCCAGTTTTGTTGACTGACTTGCTTCTTACCTCTTTCATATTCTCCTCTGCCTCTACCACCTTGGTCTTGAGTATTCTGAGCATAAAGAATCTTCTTCTCCTTTAAGGTTGTCTTTGCTTTGAGTGTTTGATCAAGAGACTCCTCTTTCTTCTTCCTTCTCCGCTGCTCATGCGCTTCAAGCAACCCGGTAAGCTCTTCTACCGAGAGCACTGACAAGTCTTTGGACTCTTCTATTGCACAAACGATATTCTTAAAGTCGTCGGTTAACGACCTTAAGATTTTCTCCACCACTCGGCAAGTGGGCAGCATCTCTCCATTTCTTCCGAGTTGATTTACCACGGTCTCAACACGAGAGACGTACTCGGCAACCCCTTTCATCCCCATGCTTTCAAGCTCACCTTTCAGAGTTTGAAGCCTGACTTGCTTCACGCAATTATCCCCTTTATATGCCTTTTCCAGAATATCTCACGCTTCTTTTGAAGATTTATCATTTGCTATCTTCTCAAAGGCGGACTCATCAACAGTTTGGTACAACACGTACAAAGTCGTTTTGTCCTTTACCCATGTTGCTTTCAATGCAGCAAGTTGGACAATCGTCTGCTCTTCAATATTCTTTAGTTCTTGGTGCTCATTTTCGACCACATCCTATACTTCCTGGGAACCAAGGAGAGCTTTCATTTGCATACTCTAGTTATCATAGCTTCCGTTTTTCGATAACTTTGGCAGGGGCATGCTGTTAGCTAAGTTGACCATCTCAAACAAACTCTCTAACTCTCAAACACTCTCTCTAACGCACTTAGATACTCAGACTCTCAAACTCTGAAGTCAATTTGTTGACAAATAAGTATCTAACCAAAACACTTTGTATGTTATCACTTGATGTTTTTGCAATGAGTGATACATGGTCAATTTATAGTCCTTTGGATATGACCTCTCAATTACATGCATTTAATACAACCACTACCTCTTAATTACATACATTCAATACAACCACTATCTCTCAAATATTATCTCGATAACCACTACCTTTCAACTACATATATTTAATGTTTACCTAACATAAAGTGCAAAAAATGTGGTGATTTGGACATGAAGAGTAAATGTGCAAGTCAAAATCATAGAAAGCAAAGATGGCTATGGACGAAAAATTATGAGCAACATGCTTTGCACAATTAACAGTTATAGTGATTCATGGTTATAAACAGCAGTTACACAAATCATGTGACCAACTATCAGAAACTTTCATAGAGTTGCACATTTAATTAAAATAAAAATTGGAAACACTGATTCTATGGGAAAATGATTGTTGCTAGTCATAAATGATCCAAGAGTTTAATCATTTGTCAGCTCATTCTTTATAGTTTAACATACATGCAAGGCAAAGTGGTGGGTGTACTATCATGCTTAAGTCTTAAGAACTGTTACATAGAAAACTTATACAGAATATAGAAATCTTCTTTTATCGCATAATAGTTATTTGTTATGTTTCGACGATCAAGACTTGGTTCTTTACAATCCCAAGATGCAAATTTGTTAATATCAACAGGCATTAGAAAGCAGTATATCGTGACTATATATTGTTACTTACCACCCGATATTGTAATCTCGGGCCCTTTGAGCAGCCCTTACATCATCAATAGAGTTAGTTTTTGGAACATAACCAAATAAAAGGATATTTAACCCAATAATGCCACGCTGCAACCAAAAGAGATTGTTGTCTGAATAGTCAAAGTGATGATTAACCATTTCAAAATGACATCATGATTATTATCACCTCTAATGATATATCCTTCCAGATTATGGTTCAAAATGAGACCTGAAGGCCTAATGAGTGACATATTTATGGTAGAGTGGTGCATTTCTTAGATAATTTTTTACCTGGTATTTCTTCCTATACAACCTAGCAGCTGAAGCATGTGCTAACAATATATGATGGGCTGCCAAATATGGCTCAGTTGATGAATTTCCTTTGGAGCAGTTAACTAAAGACGATGGAGAACACCGCTGAGGTGGTGAGATTCCTACATCATAGCCAAAAATTGCATATGCATTGGCCTCATTCACTGTAGTCCAATGCTTAACTCTGTCACCAAATTCTCTAAAGCTCACATCCGCATATGCTGTAAAGTCTTGCCTATAAGCATTCATATATAAATATGTTAATCACAATAAAAAACATTTCAGTTTCATTACTGATGTATTTGCATCATCTCTATCAAGGACAATTAGAGATTTGAAGTTTGGGAACCGTACACAACTCTTCGGCTAAGCCATCCTTGATATTCATCCTCCAATGTTTGCGGTAAGTCAAAATGGAGCAGCGTAACATGTGGCTGGATTCCTAGAAGATGAGGAATTCAACAAAAATAAATATACAGAACTTGGAAACCTTTCTAAGGCGTTAATCAAAATTTATTCTAGTCCTCACAACCATGGCTTATCAGTTCATTGATGAGGTTGTTATAATACTGCAGACCCCTGAGATTCACTCGTCCTCTTCCATCTGGTAATACATTGAAGCGACATGGTCACAACAGCATGGGAATTAGTTTGAACAATTGGAGTCAGGGACACCAAGTGTGAGTATCTAATACATCTAACTTTTATTATTATAATAATGTCCCTAACAACATCTTGGTGATCCAACCTGGAATAAGCCTTGACCATGATATGGAAAATCTGTAGGCTTCTAAGCCCATGTCCACCATGAGCTGAACATCTTCCTGCAGGTTTTTACGTTAATTTAAAGCAAGTAGTATATATATATATATATATATATATATATATATATATATATATATATATATATATATATATATATATATATATACCACAATTTCTTTTGGTTCTCTATAGGGTGACATACCTTATATTTGTGATAATGATCACACGCAACATCTCCATCACCTACATACTCGTTTCCTGAAAATATATTTTAGTAATCAATCATTTGAACAAAATTAATAACATTAAACATGGAAGATGCCAAGAGATAATGAAGTATTTATATATGTGAGTAGAGGACACTAACCCTGTTTAGCATGAGCGAAGGTATCCATTATGCTTGGCTTCCTACCATCCTCATTCGCTGCACCTTCAACCTTTCACACACATGTATATGGTTTAAGACATAATCAGAAACAGAAAGTAAAGGGTATGAAGTGTGGAAGAATGAGAGAGAGAGTCAAAGAAGAACCTGGTAAGCTGAGGTTGATGCACCAAACACAAAGTCTGGAGGGAACTCATCTCTGTGCTGTTAGGTAAACATTAAATGCATGTAGTTGAGAGATAGTGGTTGTATTGAATGTATATAGTTGAAAGGTAGTAGTTGTATTAAATACATGTAGTTGAGAGACCATATCCAAAGACCTATAAATTGATCATGTACCACTCATTGCAAACACATCAAGTGATAATATACAGAGTGTTTTATTTAGATACTTGTTTGTCAACAAATTGACATCAGAGCTTGAGAGCCTGAGTGTCTGAGTGCGTTAGAGAGAGTGTTTGAGAGTTAGAGAGTTTGTTCGAGATGGCCAACTTAGCTAACAGCATGCCCTGCCAAAGTTATCGAAAGGCGTAAGCTATGATAACTGGAGCCTGCAAATGAAGGCTATCCTTGGTTCCCAGGAAGTATGGGATGTGGTCGAAAATGAGCACCAAGAACCAGAGAATATTGAAGAGCAGACGATTGTCCAGCTTGCTGCATTGAGAGTAACACGGGTAAAGGACAAAACGACTTTGTACGTGCTGTACCGAGCTGTTGATGAGTCCGGCTTTGAGAAGATAGCAAATGTTAAATCTTCAAAAGAAGCGTGGGATATTCTGGAGAAGTCATATAAAGGGGATAATCGTGTCAAGCAAGTCAGGCTTCAAACTCTTAGAGGCGAACTTGAAAGCATGAGGATGAAAGAGGTCGATGGGGTTTCCGAGTACATCTCCCGTGTTGAGACCGTGGTGAATCAACTCGGAAGAAATGGAGAGACGCTGCCCACTTGCCGAGTGGTGGAGAAAATCTTAAGGTCGTTAACTGACGACTTTGAGAATATCGTTTGTGCAATAGAAGAGTCTAAGGACTTGTCGGTGCTCTCGGTGGAAGAGCTTGCCGGGTCGCTTGAAGCGCATGAGCAACGAAGAAGGAAGAAGAAAGAGGAGTCCCTTGATCAAGCACTCCAATCAAAGGCAACCTTAAAGGAGAAGAAGATTCCTTATGCTCAGAACACTCAAGGCCGAGGTGGTAGAGGCAGAGGAGGATATGAAAGAGGTAAGGAGCAAGTCAGTCAACAAAACTGACGTGAACGAGGACAAGATAGAGGTCGTGGCGGTAGAGGCTGAGGTGGTCAGTCAAGCAATTCCGCAGTTGAATGCTTCAAATGTGGGAAGTACGGTCATTTTGCTAAGGACTGCTATTCAGGTATCAAATGTTATAATTGTGGGAAGGTTGAACATTTTGCGAAGGACTGCCGATCTGAGAGGAAGAAGGAGACAAACCTTCTCTCTGAGGACACTGAGGAAGAAGGAGTATTGATGATGTCGAGAAGTTCGGATGTTAAGCTAAGTCCGAGTTGTTCTGACAACTCCGTTTGGTATCTTAATACAGGAGCAAGTAACCACATGTGCAGGGACGAGAACCTTTTTAAGGAGCTCACTAAAGTTGAGGCCGGACACGTGTCATTTGGAGATGCATCAAAGGTGGCAGTAAAAGGAAGAGGTACAATCTAGTACCAGCAGAAGAATAGCTGAGTTGGAGAAATCAGAGACGTGTACTATGTACCCGATCTCAAAAGCAACATATTAAGCATGGGTCAGCTGATGGAGAAAGGCTATTCGGTTTTGATGAAAGACCGAGTACTATACTTGAAGGACAAGTCGGATTGTTTGATTGCCCGAGTAGAAATGAAGAAGAACAGAATGTACAAGCTGGACTTGAAGATAGTCCAAGAGAGGTGCTTGAAACTTGACGTGAAGGATGAAGCAATGATGTGACACTTTCGATTTGGCCACTTGCATTTTAGCGGACTGACCGAGTTGGTAAAGAAAGAGATGGTGCGAGGACTCCCGTCTATGGAATTTGAAAAGAAATTCTGTGAAGAGTGTGTGCTCGGGAAGCATCCGAGGACCTCATTTCCGAGGATGCCCGAGTACCATGCAAAGGAACAACTCGGATTGATTCACACAAATATTTGTGGACCGGTTATCCCTGAGTCCTTCAGTGGGAAAAGGTATTTCATTTCTTTTATAGATGATTTTTCAAGAAAAACCTGGGTATATTTTTTGAAGGAGAAATCCGAGGTGTTTGAGGTGTTCAAGAGATTTAAAGCAATGGTTGAGAAAGAGACTGTCATGCCTATCAAATCTGTTAGGTCTGATTGAGGAGGCGAGTTCATCTCATCCGAACTCATGAAGTATTGCGAGGAGTAAGGGATAAAGAGATTTCTGACAGCACCATACTCACCCCAACAAAACGGAGTTGCCGAGAGGAAGAATCGAACCATTCTTGACATGGTTCGAACAATGTTGAGAAGCAAAAATGTGTCAAAGAAGTTTTGGGCAGAAGCAGTGCAATGTGCCATCTATGTGCAAAATAGATGTCCACATGCTAAGTTGAACGAGAAGACACCACAAGAAGTCTGGAGTGAAAGAAAACCGAGTGTGTCTCACCTTAAAGTGTTCGGTAGCATAGCTTATGGTCATGTTCCAGCTCAACAGAGGACCAAGCTCGAAGATATGAGCCGAGATATTCAAATTGATGAAGAAAGCGAGTGGAGTTGGAACAATCCGGAGAAGGAGTCCATAGGAAGTAGAAGCTCGGAAGTTGATACACCACATACTATGAGAGATCATAAAACTTTTGATGAAGAAGATGAACCTCTACAGCCCAGATCGTGAAGTTTACAAGATATACACAACTCCACTGACAAAGTGCATGTTGTATGTCTCTTGGCAGAGTTAGAAGACTTAAGTTTTGAAGAGGCCGTGCAGGAGAAAAGGTGGAGAAAGGCAATAGACGAGGAGATCGGGGCAATAGAACGCAACAACACATGGGAACTGACTGATTTGCCCAAAGGAGCGCGACCTATCGGCGTAAAGTGGGTGTACAAGAAGAAGACAAATGCTAAAGGAGAAGTTGAGCGATATAAAGCTCGACTCGTAGTGAAGGGGTACAAGCAGAAAGAAGGAATAGACTATGACGACGTATTCACCCCAGTGACGAGAATGGAAACAATTAGGCTGCTAATTTCCATAGCAGCTCAACACAGATGGACGTGAAGTCGGCATTTCTGAATGGAATCTTGGAGGAGGAAGTATATGTTGAACAGCCACTCGGATACATGCGAAGAGGAGAAGACAAGAAAGTGCTGAGATTGAAGAAGGCACTTTATGGCTTGAAACAAGCTCCACGAGCATGGAATGAAAGAATTGACACTTACTTCAAAAGGAATGGTTAAGAGCAGTGTCCTTATGAACATGCTCTATACATAAAGAAGAAAGGAGAAGATGTGATGTTTGTTGCCCTATATGTTGATGACCTTATCTTTATGGGGAATAATGCCGAGCTAATTGAAGAGTTTAAAGAAGTGATAAAAAGGAGTTTGAGATGACTGACTTGAGTCTTATGAAGTATTTTCTTGGCTTAGAAGTTGTTCAGGGAAAGGATGACATCTTTGTGTCGCAGGAAAGGTATGCTGAGGAGGTCTTGAAGAAGTTTAAGATGACAAGCTGCAACCCGGTTTCCACCCCTATGGAACCTGGTACAAAACTTTCTAAGTATGCAGATGGAGACCGAGTTGATGCAAGCAAATACCAAAGTCTGATTGGAAGTCTTAGGTATCTTACAAATACCAGACCAGATTTAATGTTAAGTGTTGGAATAACAAGTCGATATATGGAGGAGCCAAGGTATACGCATTGGAAGGCACTAAAGAGAATTCTAAGGTATGTGAGAGGAACAGTGTCACTTGGCCTAATGTATACTAGGACAGATGATTATCGACTAGTAGGCTACTCGGATAGTGACTGGTGTGGAGATGCTGATGACCGGAAAAACACGTCTGGATATGTATTATTCATATGAAACACAACATTCACCTGCCTTTCAAAAAAGCAGCCCATTGTAACGTTGTCAACTTGTGAAGCCGAGTACGTTGCAGCATCCTGGAGTGTCTGTCATGCAGTTTGGCTTAGAAACCTTCTAAGCAAGCTGGAGTTGAAGCAAGAAAAAGGGACTGTGATTCGAGTTGATAACAAGTTGGCCGTTGAATTGGCAAAGAACCCAGTCAATCATGAGAGAAGCAAGCATATTGATGTTCGGTTTCACTTCATCCGAGAACAAGTGAAAGAAGGAAATGTGGAGTTAGAGCACGTCGGAATCCGAGCACAAGCTGCAGATATGTTCACGAAGCCACTGTCAATCACTCTGTTCGAGAACAACAAGAAGATGCTTGGAATGAAGGACAAGAAAAACATTTAAGTTTATGGGGGAATTTTGTTAGGTAAACATTAAATGCATGTAGTTGAGATGTAATGGTTATAGAGGTAGTAATTGAGAGGTAGTAATTGTATTGAATATATGTAGTTGAGAGATAGTGATTGTATTAAATGTATATAGTTGAAAGGTAGTAGTTGTATTAAATACATATAGTTGAGAGGCCATATCCAAAGGCCTATAAATTGACCATGTATCACTCATTGCAAACACATCAAGTGATAATATACAGAGTGTTTTATTTAGATACTTGTTTGTCAACATGTGCAAAGTATGAGCATTAGGGAAAAGTGCTACCAATATTTGTACAAGAGCAAACACCTTCAGCATCAACTGCATTTTGCTTTACGTAGTGTTATGTGTTGCGAGGGACAAATTCAGCAAGTTTATTCTTACTTTGTCACTTGGCTACTTCATTTATAAGTAAACTATCTATGGAGAAAGTGCATATAATTTATAAGTAAAACTACAATTTATAACTTTCTATATAAGTTAATGAAACAACTTATCTAAATTGCTAATTCTATTGGAAATCCTATTGTACTTTGAAAATAAAATAGTGATATGTGTAGACCCGTTCCCCAGAGTCTGAGATTCTATGGAAGGGAAATAATTTATAGTTAAATTTTTAACTACATTTGATCGTCTCCAGATTCTTTGCTCCCAGTCTAGATCTCAACCATTGAGATGTGTGAAGTTTTATTGAAAAGAAAGGTTGGAACTTGTGCTTTACTACTGTTATTAATATTTATTTTGTTGAGCAAGCACGTTTCTATGTTTGTTCGTAATATATTGCCGAATGTAGTAGTAAATCTTGTAGAAGAAATAGAATAAGCACCATGATGAACCGCGTGATACACACACTTTCTCAAGTTATATTTATACGCTGTTTTATATTTTATTTAAACTAGATATTTAACGACACGTTGTTCCGGTTTATAAACAATTATAATATAATTTACAGATATTAAAAGTATTTATAAAAATATTATAGTTATTCTTAAAAAGATACAATAATAAATAACAATATATGATATAAGTTCGGATAAGTCAATTTTCTTAATAATTTTTTTAAAATGTATTGAATTGAACGGTAATTAAAACAAAAACAAACTTAAATTAAGATTATTATTTTAAATAATAATTTATATATTTAATGTTAATTATTGTCTTTCAATATAATTTATATATAATCTAATATTATATATAGTATTTGGTGAAGCCATAAATGTTTTTTCATCATCCAGACACTGAATTAACTTTTCCCCTGCAAAAGCCTGATTCTTCGTGAAAGACCTTATGCTCTGTCAACGTCATTAGCAACTCTCCCACAATCTTTCCCACCCCAATTGAAGCCAATCTCAAATAATTTTTGACAGAAATTGAATCATTTGGTTAAAAATACACCTGCATTTCCCACTTAAACCATTTTCTAGGACAGAATTTAAAGCAGCTTGAGTTACCAACCGATCATTATTGATTTCTTTAAAATATTAATATCCTATTATTTAAATTTTAATATAAAATCGAAATGAAAATGAGAATTATATTATTAATATCTGTACCAATTTTTTTAAGCAAGAAAACTTGAAAAAAAAATACGAATTTTGTCTCATCTTATTAATTCAGTTTTTCTCGATCAAACGTGAAAAAGAAAAAAATTGATTGGTTTAATTATAATTCATGTATATCTCTTCCATTCTAATGTCATAACATGAACACAATCTTATATTAATATGGAAAATGAGCACATTATTATATTTTAAAATTGAGAAATTTGATTAAAATTTAAATAAATACTACATAAAATAAAATAAATAAATAGATAACGAAAGTAATAAATAAAATATTTTCGTTTGAAAAAATAAAAGTGGTGAAGTAAACATCACACTTAATTCATATCTTCTATACATTTTTTTTTCAAATAAATTTGTGTTAAGACATTTATACTTTTTAATTTTAAAATAGATATACATTATTTTTTGTACTTTTATCTTTAAAAAATAATACTAATGTTAATAAGTGACACCTTCTGCTTTCTTTTATTGAAAAATTACATATTAATTAAAATTAAAAAACAAAAATTATATTAAAATTAAAAAAAAAGGGTGATGAATAAGTTATAGGAAACTTGTTCTTATTTTTTTTTCTTAAAATCTTAAAAATGAAATATACAATGGGACAATGCATTAAAAAATTTGTATTTGATGTGACATGTTTTTTTATCTTAATTTAAGAGGATTATTTTAAAATAAATCATGATATAAATGTTTTTATACTAGAAAATTTGAACTTTACATATTTATATTATTTTTACATAAAAAATAATTATTAAAATAAAAAAATTAATAATAGTTGATTTATCAATAATAACTTATAAGTATCTTTATATAAGATGCACAATAAATTATTCATCATATTCCATTTATTCAACCAGTACATAGTTAAAAATTAATAAGTAAACATAAAGAATGATCAATATATTATTAAAAATAATTAAAATAAGAGAGATAATTAAAATAAAATTAATGTAATACTGAAAATAAAATAAATAAATATAATAAAAAAATCAGTACATAATTAAAAATTAAAAAAATAAATTTAAATGATCTTAAAGATATTTCATTCCACAATCATAAATAAATAAATAATAATAAATATCTCATTTCTTTATCTTAAAAATTACATATAATATATCAAAATTAAAGACTTGTATTTTCTTGCTCATTCTCTCCCTTTTTCTCTCTCCTTTACTTTTTTTCTCCTCGTCCCTTTCCTCTCCTCTCCACCCCACATCTATTTATTGCCACATTTTTTTTCTTTTCATTAAATGCTTTAAATGCATGCTTGTCTCCTAAAGAGATAAGCCTCTCTTTTTTCTTTTAATTACTTTTATTAATTAATTAATACTAATTATATATATATATTAATAATAATAATTTTTTTTCACTTACTTTTAATAATAATTTAACAATAATATTTTTATTGTAAAAATATTTAAATATCCAAAATATTATAATTTAATATATTATATTTAAAAAAATTTACATGATAATTTTTTAAGTATTATATTTCTCTCATATTTATAGAAATTTCATCATCGAAAGTTTTATTAACTAGAACAAATAAGGGTAACTTTATCTCGATATTCTTTTATAATTCTCATGTAGCATCTCTAGTGATTTCATTTTAAACAACCTTTATTACTTGGAATTTCCCTACCTCTCAATTGCATGATCTTCTAGTCGGTAATATGTACAAACATTATTTCATATGTAAGGTTATCTTTTAATTATACTATATCCAACATTATTACATGAGAATGATAAGAAATATATTTTATTAACTGAGACCCATAAAACACATTATAAGATTAGAAAAAAAAAGGGTAAAAAAATTTGGTAAGCAACAAAACCTATTTTTCTAAGAATTTGTTAAGGACCAATAAATCGATGAGTGAGTTTCTTTGTTTTCATTACTCTACCAACTCCAATTGTCGATGTTACTTTCAATAATACATTATCACCTTCTTGGAATTCAAGGGGTTACTTTTTCTTGTTAGCATAATTTTTCTATTGACTTTGAATTATTCTTAATTTTTCTCGAATCATCTTAATTTTCTCGTGGTTTGTTGAATCATGTCAAGACCTAAGATTAAATTTTCTCCAGTCTCAAACAAATATAGAGGTGTTTTGCATTTTCTCCCATCAACGCCTCATAGGGTGTTATACCTATGTTAGAATAAAAATTGTTGTTGTAAGTGAAGAGACATGTAAGGATTTTCTACATAAAGTGTCTGCCACTAAATTTGTCTTTCCTAGATGGTAATGTAATTCAAAATTATACTTTTTTAAAAATTTCATCCATTTTCTCTGTATCATATTTAACTCTTTATGGTCACTAAAAACCTCAAACTTACTTCATATAATGTCTCCATATTTTGAGTGTAAAAAGATGACGGTTAGTTCTAGATCATGAGTTGGATAATTTTTCTCATGTGTTCTTAATTGTCAAGAAGCATATGCAACTACCCTTCTATCTTGCATAAGAACACATCCTAATCTCATTTTGCAAGCATCACAAAATATCACAAAGTATTCAGTAGGGTTAGGTAATGCTGGTACAAGGGAAGTGATTAATCTTTTCTTAAGCTCTTGAAAACTATTTTCGCATTTTTTTGTCCATTCAAAAGTTTGACCTTTCTGGGTGAGTTGGGTTAAAGACATAGCTATTTTAGAAAATCCTTCAATGAATCTCCTATAAGACCCTACCAAACCCAGAAAACTACGAATCTCAGTCACTATTTTTTGTGGATTCCATTGTAGAATTGTTTTCACCTTAGTTGGGTCTAGTGAAATTCCTTCTTTGGAAATCACATGGCCCAAAAATTTTACTTCTTCTAACCAAAATTCACACTTAGACAATTTAACATACAATTGTTTATCTTCCAAAATCTGAAGAATAGTCTCAAAGTGTTCTTCATGCTCTTTAAGATTCTTAGAATAAATGAGAATATCATCTATAAAACTACAACAAAATAATTTAAAAAGGAAAAAAAATATTATTCATAGAATCTATGAATATTACAGGAGCATTGGTCACACCGAAAGGCATCACTTGGTATTCATAATGACCATACCTAGTTCTAAATGCATTTTTTTGTACATCTTTCGCCTTTACTCTAATTTGGTGATATACTGGTCTTAAATCTATTTTAGAAAATACAGAAATTCCTCTTAATTGATCTATCAAGTAATCTATTCTAGGAAGAAGATATTTATTTTTTTATGGTGAATTTATTTATCTAATGGTAATATACACATAACCTAAAATTTTCATCTTTCTTTTTAACTAACAAAATAGGAGCTCCCCAAGGTAATACACTAGGACAAATGAATTGTTTCTCAAGTAATTATTCCAATTATTTCTTCAGTTTTGTCAGTTCAGAATATGATATCCTATATGGTGCCATAGAAATTGGTCTAGTTCTAAGTATCAAATCAATTGAAAATTTAACCTCTCTATTGGGTGGCAAACCAGGAATATCATTAGGAAAAATTTTCGGAAAATTTCGAACAACTATTATATTTTTCAAATCGACTTACTCTTTTACTTTCATAGAAAATAATAACAAATATCCTTGAACTTTATTCTTCAAAGACTCATTTATTGAGTTGGTAGAAAAATTCAAAAGATTCTCAAAATTTGAAAATATTATTGATTTTTCTACATAATTCAGAAGGACTTGATTGGAAGATAAACAGTCCATACCTAAGATTACATCCAATTGAGATAGAGGTAAACAAACTAAACTTATAAGAAATTTCCTATTTTCAATGAATAAAGGACAATATAGACAAATTTTATTGGTAGTTACAAACTTACTTATGAGAGTTGAAATAATCAAACTAGTGTTTAGAAAGAGTAGTTGACAATTCAACGTGTTGGACATAATCATTAGAAATGAATGAATGAGTTATGCCTGAATATAGTATATTTAAATTTTGCCTTTAATGAAACACATACCTTGGATCAAATCATTATTTTGAGAGGCTTCAGTTCTAGCCATGGTATATACTCTTCATGTTGTCAAAGGTCTTATTTTTGGTGCAGAAGGATTAAAATTTGCTTTTTGTTACCGACATTCAGAGAATATATGACCAGGTTTTCAACACTTGAAACAGACAGGTTCTTTAAGATGACAATCTTTAGCATAATAATTTTGTCCTCACTTAAAATATTTGAGCTGATTATTTACATGTTTATTAAAATTTATTACAGAAAATTGATTGGGTTGGATCTTTATTAGGGACGGTTGTAAGATTTTCCTTCATTTTGTCTCCTTTTATTTTGATGGGGTTCAAAATATTTTTGTTTATTATTTTGATGGTTTTCAAAATCTTCCAAAAATTTGCACTTATGAATAAGCATAAAAAAATAAAAAAATTCTAATATTGCTATTGTTTTTTCTCAATTCAGGCCTAAATTCATTCTCAAATTTTATACACTTCATTATTTCATCAGGGTGATAAAATAATGCATAGTTTTTTGCTCTCCTCACATCATTGAGAAAATATTTTTCTAAATATTTTTTTCTAAACATCTCCCAAGTAATGAATATTCTTTCTCTAATCTCATAATATTATCCCACCAATGTTCAACCTTTTCTATCAACATAAACACAATGTAATTCACCTTTTAGTTATCAAGACAATTCATAACTTCAATTTTTTTTTTTCAATTTTTCAATCCATGATTAAACATTTTTTTTATTATAACCTTCAGAAAATTATAGAGGTTTGTTTCTCCTAAATTCAATTAAACCTTGTGATTCATTGATTTCTTCAGGTCTTTGGTTCCTTAATAATGCAACAATCATGTTTCTGATAGCTTGTACCGCTTTTGTCAACTCATTGTTCCTCATATTATTTGTCATCTGAAATTATACAAGTTAGGATTCAAAACATTTCATGATAGACTCATTGTATAGGTCACACATGAAACGTTGTTCTGATACCATCTAATATGATATTTTTTTCTTTTTGTTATTTTTGTTAACTTAAAATGATTATTTTCCGAAAATAAGACATGAGGTAAATGTTTATACACACACACATATATATATATATATAAAGATGTGAACTTTACAAGTTTATATTGTATCTATATAAAAAATAATTAATAAAATTGACAAAATTTTCTTTTAACCGTGGTTGATTTATCAATGATACAAGTATCTTCCACCTTGATATCTCTATCTATTTATGTTGATATTTTAGTTGTAACATACACAAAAAAATAACAATAGGGAAGTAAAAACAATTATCATTTATAATAATACAGTCTCATCGTATATACAAAATATACTTTTCAACTTCTTCAACATATTCTATTTATTCAGTATTATGAAAAGTTGAATAAAATTTTGTAGTGACTAGTCAGGATAAATGAACCAAATTTTAATCACTCTCAATGATATTTACTCATTTCATTCTCCAAGGTTTAATCTCTAGCTACAATATCATCAAATCTTCATAAATTGATATTATTATTTAAAAATAATTAAATATTGTAAATATAAATTAATAAACAAGAATCAATGCATAATCGAAGATAAAATAAATAAGACAAGTGTATAATTGAAGATAAATAAAATATGACCAAGTCGTGACTAGAGACAATAAATAAATATAAAATAAGATCAATACATAATTGGACAAAAATAAATAAACATAAAGCAAGACTAGTGCATAAATAAAGATAATTAAAATAGGATTAATGCAGGATTTAAGATAAAGTAAATACATATAACACAGAACAAATACATAATTGAATGCAAATAAAATATAAAAGAAGAAATAAAATGAAGTTAAAAACATCTCACCTTCTAACCATAAGTAAAAATAAAGAAGAATAATAATAAATATCTTATCCTTCTATCTTAAATATTGTACCAAAATTATATTGAGTTGACTTATATTTTATTTCTCTTTATCGCGTTATCTTTATCTCTCTTCTTTCTCTTTGGTCCCTTTCTTCTCCTCCCCACATCTATTTATACCCATTTTTTTCTTTTTTTTTCTTATCATTAAATGCTTTAAACGCATGCTTATCTCTTAAAGAGATTAGCCTCTTTATTTTTAATAAAATTTTAATTATTTTTATTAATTAATTAATATCTTATTAATTATATATATATATATTAAATAATAATAATTTTTTTCTTTTTTTAATAATAATTTAACAATAATTATTTTATTATAAAAATATTTGAATATCTAAAATATTATAATTTAATATATTATATTTAAAAAATTTTACATGATAAATTTCAAGTATAATTAATCCTTATTGAATTCATTAAGTGAATAATAACTACAACAAGATTAGCCTCTAACATAATGTATAAAAAAATCATTATAAAATAAAAAATAACATCACGTTATAATATCAAATTAGATATTTGCATTATGTTATTTAGAGAGTAACGAAACTATTTCTTTATTTTATTTATACTTGTACTATATCATATGTAAATATAATAATAATAAAATTATATATATATATATATATATATATATATATATATATATTAAAATAATATTTTTTTTCAAAAAATATTTTGTTATATTTTATACGATAATTTATAATTTACAATATTAGTTTAATAATATTTTTAATGTATAATAATTAACCTATTCCATTCTTATTTATAAAAAGTTCTTTAACTTTAATATTTAAAACTTTTAAATTTTCATAAACTTTTATATTTAAATTTTTTAATTTTTAATTATCAAAATTTTTATGTTAATTTTAGTCAATAAAAGATTTTTAAATTAAATAAAAAAACTAGTATCATTTTTAAATTTAGAGATGATAAAAAGAGTTAAGTCCAATAAGACTATTTATATTTGCTTAAAAATAGTAGATTAAATTGATAATTTTATCCATTTTGATCTATCTTCCTTAACCTACTAATTTGACAAGCAAACAAAAATTAAGACAGGTTTACATGTTTTAAAAAAAATATTTAAAAAATTGTTATATTTTATATATTAAAATAATTAATAATATAAATTTAATTAGTTAAAAATATTAATAAATAAAAGTTTAAAAATTATTCATATAATTAACATGTATTAAAAGAATATATATATATATATATATATATAATTTATATAAAAAAAATATATTAATAAATTCATCCGTTAATCTACTTTTAATGAAAGGAGCTGAAATATGTAACCTAACGAATGAACCACCAACCATCCCTCTAATCTCATTTTTAACAAAATAAACGCTGAATGGACGTCAGGGGCCTCTTTTGCACTCCGTAAATAAATTAATCTCAATGACGTGATAGATTGCTCAACGGAATTTGTTAAGCGAATATGATATAATAAATTTATTGTAAATAATATTTAAAAATTATTATTATAATAATTATCATAAATTATAATAAAATAATAAATATAAAATATATTAAAAAATATAAGATATATAAATATTAAAATAAAATAAAAATATAATAAAATAAGTATAATTTGAAGTTAACATAATTAATATTAATAAAAAAATCAAATATGATATATATATATATATATAAAATTATATTAAAAAATTAATATTAAGATTTTTTTATTAAACTAGATTAAAAAATCCAGTTAGTTTTGTTGGTTTTTTTAATTTTATTTTCATTTAATTATAATCTAATTATTTAAAAATAACAGATTAATTTCAAGATTTGGAATGTATATAAAATGAAAGTTGAATCCCAAGAAAGCATGACATTTTTGCGCTTGATTTTCAAGTCACTAAAATAGAACATGGCATGAAGAAGAAAAGCATGCATATTATGGTGTTGATGTTGAAGGTATTAGCAGTTACAGAATTAGTGTTTCTGATAGTCCATCCTCGTGTTCATGCCTTGAGCAGGGACCAGTTCCCTCCTGACTTCGTGTTTGGTGCATCAACCTCAGCTTACCAGGTTCTTCTCTCTCCCTCCCTCTCTTGAACTTTCTTCCTTTCACTGTCCTAGTCTTGTGATTCTTTGCTGAATATGTGTTCGTGTGTTCGAATTTTTAATTGGGGTGATGTCAAAGGTTGAAGGTGCAGCAAATGAAGATGGCAGGAAGCCAAGCATATGGGACACGTTCTCTCATTCTGGAAATGGTACTATCCTCTACTCAGTGCTCACATATATACAATATGTTTAATTTCTTTTGAGATATAATTTTTTTTTTTCAAGGTTTCTTGGTTATTCTTTTGTTCATGGAAATTTGATGCAAAAGTATGTTCAGCGCATATGTTTGCAGGTGATGGAGATGTTGCATGTGATCAATATCACAAGTATAAGGTCAGTGACCCTGGAGTATACATATAAAGAACTGAAAGAAATTCCTCCTGTATATACATGGATGCATACACTAAAGATGCATCTTATATGCACCACTTGGTCTTAAATTTTTGTTCAACTAAAAAGACTTTGTAGTTTTCTGAGCTCATACCGCACATTGATTTCCTGCAGGAAGATGTTCAGCTCATGGCCAACATGGGCTTAGAAGCCTACAGATTTTCTATATCATGGTCAAGGCTTATTCCAGGTGAGAGATTTGGGATGTTCTTAAATCAATGTCTAAAATACATGTGAAAAGTAATTTTTATAGATACACACACTTGGTTTGATTTAGGGGCAATGAATTTCTGGCTCGAATTTAATATAGTTGCCAAGATCAAATTGTTATTTCCATACTGTTCTGACCATCTTATTACCATTTACTACCAGATGGAAGAGGACAAGTGAATCCCAAGGGACTACAGTATTACAACAATCTTATTAATGAATTGATAAGCCATGGTTCTTGTGATAACAATATTTTCCTCTTTAAGTTTGATTAAACGTCTAAGAGAGGTTATTCCAGGTTATCTGATGAACATTTATTTTTGTGAATGATTCCTCGTAATGTAGGAATCGAAGCACATGTTACATTAAACCATTGGGACCTACCACAAGCACTTGAGGATGAATATGGAGGATGGGTTAGTCGAACAGTTGTGTATAGTTCTCAAACTTCAAGTCTCTATAAAGATTGCCCTGGATTGAGATTGTGCAAAATAAATTTTAAATTGAGAAATGACATTTACTGCTATTAACATATGTATATATGCATGCTTGTAGGAAAGACTTCACAGAATATGCAGATGTGTGCTTTAGAGAATTTGGAGACAGAGTTAGGTATTGGACTACAGTGAATGAGGCCAATGTTCAAGCAGTATTTGACTATGATATAGGAATTTCACCACCTCAGCGGTGTTCTCCTTCCACTATATTTAACTGTTCCAGAGGAAATTCCTCAACTGAGCCATATTTGGTTGCCCATCATATGTTGTTAGCACATGCTTCAGCTGCTACGGTATATAGAAAGAAATACCAGGTAAAAATTATTTAACAATTGCACCACTCTACTGTGTATACATTTTAAAACATAATCAGGAAGGATAGAAGAAAGGTGATCATCACGATGATGTCCTTTGAAAATGGTGTTAATCATAGTTTAATGTATTCAGAAAAACAAATTCTTTTGGATGCAGGGCATGCAGCATGGCTTAATTGGGTTTAGTCTCCTTAGTTTAGGTTTTCTTCCCCTAACAAATTCTACTGAAGATATAATGGCTACTCAGAGGGTTCAAGACTTCTTCGATGGATGGTAAGTAACAATCTAGGCATAGTATCTCTTTCGCATCACTTTTGACATTAACAAATTTGCATCTTGGGATTGCAAAGGACCAACACTTCAAAAATAATATTTATAAAGTCCAAGATAATATTCCTAAATAAATAAATGTGCTTTGAATTATACATTATATAGTTGGCTTTTGTCTATGAATTGTTAGTGCAGGTTTATGAATCCCTTTACATTTGGAGATTACCCGGATATAATGAAAAAGAATGCTGGCTCAAGGCTTCCTTCCTTCACTAAAAAGGAATCAAATCTAGTCAGGGGCTCAATCGATTTCTTAGGAATAAACGTTTACTACTCATTTTATGTTTCGGACAGTCCTGACAACCTACAGAAGGAGAACAGGGATTTCTTTGCAGATTTATCAGCAAAATTGCAAAGTATGTCACAAGATATTTCCCTGACCTATTTTTATTTCATAACCAATTCTGTATCGAGGTTTAAAAGTTACTTATCTATAAATGTTTCTTTTTTGTGAGAGGCACTATCCTAAACTTTAAGAATCAAGATACTTCTTATGAATGGAATTAGACTTTCTTTCCTGTTTATCATAGAATTTAAGGGTTTTTTTTTTTGTTACATGTTTAAATTTCTAATTCCCAATCAATGGCCCTTGCCCTTGCTGACATTTGCTAATACTTTTCATAGACCTTCCACGGCTCCATCCTGACATACATAAATATTAGTATCTGAATCTGATTCACAACTTCATTTTCTTTGCTTATCCCTTATCCCTATCAATTCAATTCTTCCATAAACTACCATAATCAATGCCATCAAACGTTTAAAAATCATGTGTAAAATTTATTATTATGTATGTCTTGTTATTGTTAAAGATTAGTTTAGATAGTAAACTTCAGTAGGTGAAATCAGTTTGTGATGTCATCCATCATCCTCTCATTTTGTGGAAATGAAACAGCTGATTATTGTTCTTTCTGGTTGCAGTGTTCATTCATAATGATACACCAAAATACGAGGTAACAGCAGGAACATGATGCTATTCCACTTATGTATTTCTTTATTCCTTTAAAAATTTAGCTTTAATACTTTCCACTAACCAGCTGATGGATTTAGATTCCAATTACTCCCAACGTTTTCCTAGGGACGTTAGCCTCACTAAAGAACTCTTATGGCAATATTCCAATTTTCGTACAAGAAAATGGTATGACATGCTCTTTGCATCTCCCTTGGAATTCAAAAGCTCCCTGTTTCTTTTATGAACATATTCAACTGTCCTGTTATGTAGTTAGTTGTATGGTAAGCCTTGTTAGCTTTGCAGGACAACAAACACCTCATAATTCATCATTAGACGACTGGCCAAGGGTGGATTACTTGCATGCATACATTGGAAGCATGGCTGATGCACTCAGGTACTTCTACTTCTATTTTCACTTTCAAGTGGGAATGGTTTTCAGAAAGCTGATTCTTGTTTGTTCTTTTTCCTTTCTTTTTGACATATTAACAGGAGTGGATTAAATGTAAAAGGTTACTTTGTATGGTCCTTCATGGATGTATTCGAACTAATGGGTGGATATGAAATAAGTTATGGTCTATATTACGTAGACATGGATGATCCAAACTTAAGAAGGCAACCTAAGCTTTCTGCTGAATGGTACTCAAATTTTCTTAAAGGGAAGCCTATGGACCCAAAGATCACCAAGGAAATTCACAAGAATGCAAGTGTGCTTTCACATAATCCGTCACACCATAGTGTCACGTAAACTTATCACAACATGTTTAAAAAAGTTCAGAGCGAAATAAAAGGTTTGTGATGGCAAAATCATATATAATGTATAATGGCTTTTATTAAGCTTATGAATAAATGACTCATTTTTTTAAAAATTCTAATTGAGTATACAATAATTTGTAAAACAAATTATAGAATGTTTATTAAAAAAGTGTTTAATTTTATTTCCTTTATATTTAAATTAAAATTTAATCAGGTGTGTTTGTACACTATTTTTAAAGACAATTTTGTGTTTTGCAAATTAAAAAAAAAAACCGTTGCAATCTATTTCCAAAACTTTTAATGTTTTATGATTTCCGCAAAAAAAAAAATAGTGTATAGTGTAGAGTTGTTTTGATTGTGTTTCTGACTGTATGAAAACTAAAATCATACATAGAACATATTTTCATTAATGAGGCGACGATAATAAATTACCCTAATTTAGCATCATGAATTCAAAATATCCAAAGGTAAATTTTTTCTAAGACTTCATCCAAATATTTATTTCTAAACAATATTTTAGAAATTTGATTTCATAACACTTCTAAAAAAACTAAATTAAAAGATCAATCCATATTCTGATTTCCGAAAGCTCATTTTAAAAAATTCATTCCGAAAAGATTATAAAAAAGTAAGTCCGAATCTTAAATCATATCAAAATTTATTTTTAGATTTCGCTTTAAAAATTTTGTTTGGATTAATGTTTCTAAAATGGTAATACTATATTCTAAATTTCATAATCAAAGACTAAAAAATTATATGATACAAATGACGAGTTCGATTCTTTTTCCGTTTAGCATTATTTTAACATAAATTATATATTTATTTATATTTTTATAAATATAATAAAATTTAATAAACATGTATTTATATCTTTCTATATAACATTTTTACATAAATAAATTATATATATTATTTAAATATATTTTTAATATAAAATAATTTTAATAAGTAAAAATAATATTTTTATAGAAATATATAAATATTTTTATTATTTTTATTATATTTTAATATATTTTTACTATATTTATAAAAATATATTAATAATATAATTATATAAATATATTTTTATGTTATTTAAAAAATATATTTATATTTATTTCATATAATTATATAAATAAATTAAAAATATATATATATATATAATATTATATATTTATTTTATATATATATATATATATATATATATTTAATTATTTTATTTTAAAAATTATATTAATTAGTGAGGTCGGAATTCAGCCTCATGAGAATCGAATTCCAATCGTGTATATAAAAATGGTGCTAGTTAGGTAAATATTGATAAAATGATGTTATTTTTAAATTATAAATTTAATAGCATGTTAGTAAGGTAAATATTGATAGAATGATATTATTTCTGAATTATAAATTTAATAGGATGCTAATAAAAAAAAAATCCACGAGTGTGTGGCAAGTGGTGTGTACATGATTAGACCCATATAAAATTGGCTAGCATGCAAGTTACTACTCATATCTTGGAGGGCATTCATTAAAGGGATTCATTTTTCTTGTCAATGACTTCACCAATGTCGAATGGATTTGGCACATGGTAAAATAATTGAGTCTTCACTCAATTTCAAAGTGAAAAAAGTTTATCTAAGAAAAGTTATTTTGCAAATCACTTAATCATGTACGGAAACAAAATCCTATTCCAAGGCTATCAAATTCATCTAAGTTTCCCTCTGCTAAGTTTCAAGCACATTATTCTCACCTACTTTCATTCACTAGACGCAATTTAACCCTTAATCATAGATATGCTTTTTTTTTTTAACAACTTTACTTATCGACTCTGAGAAATATTCTAATTAAAAAAAAAAACTATTTTATTCCATAGAAATCTTAAATTTATGATTCTCACAAATATATTATTAAAAGTGTTCAAGAATTTAATTGGACCTATTGTAAAAGATCTCTTCATGGATAATTTTTCATCTCTTATTTTTTTTGATGACTTTCTAGATGATATAGAATATGTCCATTACAAAATCTTATTCTGTCAATGTAATGTATGATTTTGGACCCCCAAACTTTAATATATTTACTTGTATATTTACAATTTTATTCTCTCAGTCTCTCTTCAGTTTTGTAACTCATATAATTTATGATTTTGCCCCCCCAAACTTAATCATCATTTTATATATTTACTTATACATTTACAATTTTATCCTCTCACCCTTTCCTCTTCTTTCACCCTTTATTACTTTTTAATAATATATTATTTGACCCTCCGTAATCAATGGTCAAGATCTGTCAATGTGTCAAAGTTAGTTGTCTTTTATTCTTGAGGAACTTAACTTTTAATCTTGCACAAAAGAAATTGTAATGTAACTTCTGGGTAATATTTTAAAATATTTATTAAAATACCATAATACCCTTAATGAAGTGGGAAGAGAGGGAATTAATTTTAATAACTCTAAAATAATTCTCATAACTTAAATACATTTATAATCTAATAATCATCATATTAGAAACCTTTACATTGAAGTTATTCTATAAATTACATGAGTCTATATTAGATTAAAATAATCTAACATTCTCTCACTTGACTTATGTAACGACTTGAAGATTCAACATTAAATTTTAAGTGTACATTGAACTTAATAAGTCATTATCATCCATTGACATAAGCTAGAAGATTGGATCATAGCGGTTATAATCCTATAACAATTTTTCTTCAATGTATTACAAATCATTTAACTTAACTTCAACAAAACTATAATATATCTTCAATTCACTAAATAAAACAATAATGTATACCAAGTAACGCATTACAACCATAATATATATATATATATATATATATATATATATATATATGTGTGTGTGTGTGTGTGTGTGTTAAGGTTCTAACATAAAACCAATTGGCAATATGTGGAGTAGCCTAACATGTATTTAAACCATACCAAATGACATGAGGTAGACGATGTGGAACTTTCAACAATATATATATACACACACCAAACTACATTAGGACAAAGCTAATGTAAGGCTAGTACATATTTGAGCATACATCAAACTCCTAATTAATGATGCATAAGGAATAAATTTCATCATTACAATCCAATTCATTTCTGCGACATTGCATTTGATTAAACTTGACACACTTTTGTATTAAAATGATCCAAGTAGAGGACTTTTCCATTCTTAATCTCTCTAATACCTTATTAATATAGTATTTCTAAGATAATCCCAACAATTCTTGTGATATGTTACAAAATATTTCTATTCCTATCATATAGGATGCTTCACCCATATCTTTCATTTCAAAGTTATTAAAGAGAAACTTCTTTACATCATGTAACATGATAATATTATTAGTAGCAAGCAAAATATCATCAACATGTAGGACTAAAATTACAAACTTACTCTCATTGACCTTCATGTAGATACACCAATAAAAAATGTTTTCTACAAAACCATATGTGTGATGGTATCATTAAACTTGAGATACCATTGTCTAGAAGCCTGTTTTAGTCCATATATCAACTTCTTTAAAATACACCATGTTTTCCTTTACTATGGAAACATAACCTTCAAGTTGGTCCATATAAATTTCTTCCTCTAATTCACCATTTAGAAAGGCGATCTTTACATCCATCTGGTGAAACTCTAAATCATAATGAGCCACCAAAGTAAAAACAATTCTCAAATAGTCCTTTTTAGAAATAGGAGAGAAAGTCTCTTTGTAGTCAATGTCATCCTTCTGAGTGAAACATTTGACAACTAATATAGCTTTATATCTTTCAATATTTCCTTTTGAGTCACATTTGGTCTTAAAGACCCATTTATAACCGATTCTTTTTAAATCTTTAGGCAATTAAAATATTTTATTTTTATTCATTGATTTCAACTCTTCTTTCATAACATTCAACCATTTTTCTGAATTATCACTTTCTAAGACTTGTTTAACTGAGATTGGATCATCATCAACACTCATACTCAAGTGAATATACAATACAGTCACCTGAAATAGCTGGTCTTCTTTGCCTTTCATACCTTCTTAATACTATTTCATGTGCCTCTTCTATCACTTGTTCATTAGTGACTAATGTTGGTATATCAACCATATGCTCATTTTGTGGGTTTTGGATACCGTTTTGTTATCTCTTGTTGTTGTTTGGCAGTAACACGACTAAAGGAACAACATCCTTACAAGAAGCATTAGGTGAAGGAGATTCACCATGAATTTCTACAATATCCACCTTTTGTGATTTCTCACTCCTACTAGATTGGTCATTTTTAATGAACTGAACATTACCAAACTTAACTATTCTTGTATTATGGTTACGACAATAGAATCTATAACCTTTATACTTTTCAGGATAGCCAATGAAGAAACCACTAACAGTTCTTGCATCAAGCTTCCTTTCATGTGGATTATACATTCTTACTTCTGTTGGACAACCCCAAATATGAAGATGTCTTAAACTAGGTTTTCTTCTTGTCCACAATTCATAAAGAGTCTTAGAAACTGCCTTATTAGGAGCCTTATTGAGTAAATATATAACAGTATTTAAGATATTTATCCACAAAGATAAAGGTACAATACTATAATTTAGCATAAACCTAACCATATCTATTAAAGTATGATTCAGTCTTTCAATAACATCATTTTATTGAGGTGTGTTAGGCATAGTGTATTGTAAATATATGCTTATACTTCTAAGGAACTTTGCAAATGGACCTGGACATTGTTCACTTTTAGTGAATTTTCCATAAAATTCGCCACTTATATCAGATCTTACAACCACCTTAACTTTTCTATCTAACTGTATTTCTATCTCATTGATGAACATCTTTAGGATGTCCACTGATTGAGATTTTTCATGTAGAAGATATAAATAAAATAATGTGAAAAATCCTATATAAATGTGATAAAATATTTTTCAACACTCCAAGATGGAATGTGAAAGGACCCACAAATATCAGTGTATATTAATCCTAAAGGTTCATTGCTTCTCGTAGAAGAATTCTTGG